AACTGAGGGAGCTCTGGTCCTCACTTTGAGCACTGCTTCCTGCCTCCAGAGGGGAAGATGGTGCACTGCTCAGTCTCCTGGAGAAGCTTGTTGCATTTGCTTTCCTGATGGGAACTTGGCTTTCTTCATTATTGGAGGAGTTCGAGGCCTCACTGTTGCTGAGGATGGCTGTGGTACTTTTTTTGGGAAGCTCTGGTTCTTACTTTGCATGTCACTTCCTGGCTCCAGTGCAGATCCCTCAGCCTGCTAGCACAGATCCTTCACCTTGCTGGCACAGACCTTCTAGATTCCAACACTGACTTTTGGGTCTTCCCAGCGCAGATCTGTGAAACAGGCCTGCATGAGATGTTGCTGTGGGCTCTGGGCCTCCAGCTGCATTCATGGGAGGCATTGTTATGAGCTTTAGGTCTTCAGCTGGACTCATGGATGACATTGCCATGGGATCCAGGCCTTCAGCTGGATGCTTTGGTCTTCAGTGTGTGGACAGATTTCCCGCACTCCTTTTGTATATGATTCTTTGGGTGACTACTACACATAATCTTATATAATATGTGTTCTGTATTATATTGCTCCCCTTGCAAAACCCCCAAACTAAAACACACAGAAAGCAGCCAAGGAAGAAAGGAAATGAGGAAGTGGGGCAGGGGAGGAAGGCCATGCGGAGGGCTGACAGCAGCGAGGACTGGACACTCACAAGCTGGGTTCCTCTGGAAGATGCAGGGCCTGCAGGTGCCAAGGGAGAAGCTGGGTTGTGCGGTGCAGAGGGTTGGGCAGGACAAAGTCACAGCACTGCCCCTGCACATCCAGAAGTGGACGGGTCACTTTCACAGCGGATGAAACCCAGTAGCACATGCTGCTGTACTCACATTTCCAACACAAAGTCTGCTCTTTAAACATCGCGGTCCCAGAATGGAGACTTGGCATTGTTCTAGCGACAGAGGAACTCACAAATTTTACTTTTTGTGTTTTTAGAAAGACTCATAGTGAAAAGTATAGTTTATATCTCTACCCAGAATGTGTGTATCTGTATATGATAATAAACATTTCATAAACTATGTATGATACACTCTGATATCTCTGATCTCCCCTTTCGGGGTACTGAAGACTAAGCCATGGGCATGCTACTACTGAGCTACATGTGCAGTATTCATACTTTTTTTGCACAGAGGGGTCAACGAGTTGCCCGGGGTGGCCCTAAAGTTGGGATTACAGGAATGCAGTACTATTGCCTTTTAAAAAGCTAATTTAGCTGGGCATGGTGATGCATGCCTGAAATCCCAACACCAGATATGAAAGGGAAATTAAAATTTTAAATAAAAGCCTGCCAAGAATGCCCGCCATAACCAAGCAGACATGTAGGGGAAAACCTGATAACAAAACATTGCCTCCTTTGTGTAACCCATGCTTGTTTAACTAATAGCCTTGCAATGTAATTTGAGATGTTAAACTACCTTAGCAATCCATGATGTCACCCAACCCTCCAATCACAATACACCAAATCTACCTTTGTACCTCCCCATTTGCTTTCCCCATGGAAGGCCCAAAACCCCAAGAGGCGGGCTCTGACTCTTTGGGAAAAATCCCAGTCAGGCCAACTGGTGTAATAAACGCCCTCCTAATCCTTCTCGGTGCCATTTCTTTCCATGTTTGGTCTGTCTTCTGTAACAGAGGCTGAGGCAGGAGGATCACTGTAAGTTTAAGGCCAGCCTGGGCTACATAATGAAACTGTCTCAAAAACAAAACAAAACAACAACAACGGAAAGAAAATGAAAACAAAATGCTAAGTGCAACTGATCAAATTCATTTCATAATTCACTGGTATGTCACAACCTGTTTTGAAAAATAAACTACTCGTTTGGTTTTCAGATCCACTTCAGTAGATGGGAGTGACTTGCCAGTGCTTATGCTGTAAAGTAGAGACAGAGTTCAAGCTAAAACTGATCTCTGAAGTACCGACTATTAGTCCTTTCATGTAGAACAATATTATTTCTATTACACAGAGAAAAAAAACTACAAGTGAGAAGGACACTAGCAATCGAACAGGGCATCCAGGTTTATTTGTTGCTTGTTTTTAGCAGCAGAACTCTTTCTTTCAACTTTGGAATGAACCTCATGAGTCTTAAAGATGAGGGTGGGGGCTGGATGTGGTGGCGCATGCCTGTAACCCCAGCACTCAGGAGGCTGAGGCAGGAGGATGGTTGCAAGTTCGGTACCAGCCTGGCCTACAAAGTGAGCTCAAGGCCAGCCTGACCTGCATATCCAGACCCTGTCTCAAAAAGACAAGGAAAGGGGCTGGGGATATAGCTCAGTGGCACAAGCGCCTGCCTGGCAAAGGCAAGGCCATGAGTTCCATCCCTGGTACCGCAAAAAAAAAAAAAAAAAAGACAAGGAAAAAAAAAAAGATGAGGGTGAGGGTATTTCAACGGAACGGATCAGAGCCTGAGGCATCCTGTTGAGCCTCTCCCAAATTTCGGAATCAATCCTATGAGTTGAGACCATGCTTATTAAACTGTTCAGTCACTTGAGTGGCAAAACCCAAGCTCCTTCGCAGGCTGGGAGAGACTCCTGCCCGGCTTTCCCACGGCCCGAGGTTACAGGACCTGGTCCTAGAACCAAGTGGGGTAAAGGTCTCTCTATTCCTGTGACCTGAAGCGATTTCAACTGCCAGGGCCAGGACTGGGCTGCGAAAAGCCCTTGGCTTGCCAGGGCAGTGCCCGCACCCTTGGGGCAACTGTGTCCTGGATCTGCCAGGGAAAATGCTCTCAACACGGCGGGCGCGAAAACCGGGCACCTCCAGGCAAGGAAGTCTGCTCGGACACCTTACTTCTGGGGAAACTGAGGCCCAGGTCAGGCAGCAGCTCGCCCTACAGGACTGGGAAAGCAAACTCGCTAGAAGGCCCGAGCGCAGTCCCAGACCCGAGGTCCCTCTGGCTGACCTTGTTTGAGAACCTTCTTCCTGGCCTGCTTGTCGGTCACGAGGGGAGCTGGTGGCCGCTTGACGTCCTCGGAGAAGGGGTTCGGGGAGCGCCCGCCGAACAGCCCCCGGTAAACTCTGCGGAGGCCAGCCAGCAGGAGGACCGCCAGCAACACCAGCGTGAGCCACATCGCGCCGCGCGGGTCGGAGAGCAACAGGTCCCCTGTGCCTGCACGCAGCTTTTATGGCTGTGGCTCCTCCCGGCTAGTTAGCCCTCCCTAGTTCAAAAGGCGGAGGCCACTTTGACAGTTAATGAACAAGCCTTTTCGGGCGCGAAGCCAATATCCGGAATACATTGACCCTCCCGGCTCTTCGTACCACTATGCAGCGCCTCGAAGTTTTCAGTACCTACTGGGAAATGTAGTTCTGAGGAGCGGGGAGGAATCCGAGAGGCCGCAGGGGAGGCACTGCGCGTGCGCAGATGAAGTCCAGCCCGGGACGCGGACCCCCGCCCGGAAAACGCTGGGAACGCTGGGAATGCTGGGAATGCGTCGGGTGAGCAAGGGTGGGCGGTCTGGGGAGGGAGGGAGTGAGGTGCAGGCGCCAGCCGTGGGACTGCCAGAGACTGAAAATTGCAGGACAGGGAGAGTCTTTCCTGGGAGACCGAAGACCTGAGTTCTGGTCCCGGTTTTGCTTTGGACTCCCTGAGTGCCCGGAAGCTGATTGCTTAAAGCAGAGAGCAAGTTTCCTTCCCGAGTGCCCTTCAGCCTCTGGTTGACTGAGGAGTCTGACGAATTGAGACCCCTGTTGACCTCAGCCCGGCCGCGGGCCGCCCCCCGTGACCGGTAGCGGTGGCCGCGACCACCCCCTCCCGTCCCCCGAGACGTTGGCTCTAGCTGGGTCCCACCCTGAATAGGGGACAGCTTGCTGCTCGGGAACGAGGTTTCGTGGAAGGATCAGGCAATGACTGTCACACCTATGTGAGCATTTGTACGCGGAGATGTACTTAAGCGTCCAAATTAAATCATTCAGAAAGTGTAAATTCCAGCAAGCAGTTGAAAAGCCACACCCCCGTAACGTAACTGCGATTGGGCAAGGGTCCATTTTTATAGGAGGCCCGTCTCCTTAGGGCCAGCTCTCAGGATGCCTAGTACTGGTAGGAGTGACCTCATAACTTTGAATACTTGCTGGTTTGACAAGAGTTTTTGTCCTTTGTCTGATGCAGATAGTAACTGTCCCCGTTGAAGCCTTCAGCAGAGCTCCAGGGTGTGTAAAGCGGGTCATGCTTCTGCAGTACTTGGTTCACTTCTCACACAGAAATAGAAGAACCTTCCTGAGATTGCTGTCACCGTACCTGCTCGCCAAGGTTGACGGATGTGTTTTTTGTCCTATGCTGCCATCGAGGCTATGCTGATAGCAAGAGTAAAGGGAGGTAGATGCCAAGGTCCCAGTGAGAAAAGACTATATCCTGGGATACTCAAACCGAGGGGGTGCTGCCCTCCCCGCTGCATTACAGTGAGTGTGATGTCCGCTGCAAGAGCCAGGAGGTATTCCTCCGCTTAGTGGTAATGATCAGTGTGTCCTGACAAAGATAGCAGGCTTTGTTTGTTTGAGTTTGTATTTATTTATTTTGTTTTTTTGAGACAGTTTTGTTATGCAGTCCAAGCTGGCCTTGAACTCATTACGTAGTTCAGGCTGGCCTCGAACTTTCAAGCATCCTCATGCCTCAGCCTCCCGAGTGCTGGGATTGTAGGTGTGTGCCACCATGCCCTACTGTTTTTTGGAGGTTTGAGACAGGGTCTCTCAGTGCAATTCAGACTGGCCTTGAACTCACTATGTAGCCAGACTGGCCTAGGGTTCATGGCGATCCTCCTGCCTTAGCCTCCTGAGTGCTAGGATTACAGGGTTGTGACACCATGCCGGGCAGCCATTTCTGAGAGAATCTAAATCATATTCCCACAGGTAGGGCATCTTCTTTGTCCCTTAAGTCTGTGAAGCATGATTGTCAGTTGCATGTGAGCCTGTCCAATCACAATGGCTCTTTCATGTGATAAGCATTCCTCATGTCCAGTTCCTCAGGGTAAGGTATCTGATCCTTGTCCAGCCCTTTCCCTGAGGCAGGCCTCATGAGATGAAAGACTCCCGTTGCTTAGCACGGATGAAGATCTGGCTTTAATCCCCAGCATCACAAAAACAAAAAACAAAGGTAAAACCACATACTTAGAGTTGGCCAGACTGGCCAAGTGGCTGGCACATATGTCATATTGACAAGCTAGGCGTGGTGGTGCATACCTATGATCCTAGCATTCTGGGAGGCTAAGCTAGGAGGATCACAAATTTGAGTCAGGCTCAACAGCATAGCAACTTAGCAAGACTCTGTCTCAAAATAAAGAAAGGCTGAGAACATAGCTTAGTATAAAGGCCTTGGTTCAATCCCCAGTACCACCACCAAAGGAAAAAAAAAAAAGGTAAAAATTGGAAAAGGTTAAGACAATATGCTGAATTTTGAATTTTGAGTTTCTACTGTTCTAGGAGCCTGATTTGTGCTTGGGACCTCAGCAAAACCTGAACCTTTCAGTGACGTGCATTTAGCAGGGTTCCAGTTATTTAGCTTTCCCCACTTTGATAAGCTGGCCCAGGTCTCCGTCCCGTTGTCCCCAGAGGCAGAACCTGCAGCTTACGGTAGTGCTGCTTGCCTTTGGACACTGAAAGTCTGACCCCCAGACTCCTGCTGGGTCCCCTGCTATCCCGTGGCACGGATCACAAGATATAGGCATCTGGCTAAGGCAGCTTGTTTATTCAGAATGAATTTACTGCTGCTTAAAGATTTTAAAAGTCATTTTTTTCTTCAAGGCATAGCTGAATGATGAAACCAGTTTTCTTTTTCTTTTTCCAGAGCTGAGACTTCAGAGTCATCAGGGACTTCCTTGAGTACGCATAGGAGCCTGCTACACCCTGGTGATAGCACACAGGGACTGTTTTCTTGCTCCTGGTATGAATGGCTGCCAAGGAGGAAGGCGAAGATAGAGCAATTGGATCCTCAGCTCTGCTCATAGCTTCAGATCTCAGACCTTATTAAACTCCATTCTGAGCTCAGGACAAAGCTCACTTGAACAAATGACTTTGAGTCATGAGTGAAAAATCTTGCTCTTTGCATAATGAGAAAGAATTAAGAGATGGACAGGTAAGCACTCCTATTTGGAAAAGCAGATAGTGCCTTGGGATATATCATTAGTAATAAGGTAGAGAATATATCAAGAGAGTGTGGAGTTTTAGAAATATTTGGGAAAAACTCTCATAGCTTTTTGTTCTATTAAAGGAGATTCTTTAAAAAAAAAAAAAAAAAAGGAGATTCTAGGCTGAGGGTGTAGCTCAGGGGTCCACCACTTGCCTAGCATGTGTGAGGCCTTTGGGTTCAATCTCTAGCACCACAAAAAAGGAAAGGAGATTCTGCCCTTGAACTCACTGTGTAGCCTAGGCTGGCCTCAAACTTGCACTGATTCTCCTGCCTCAACCTCCCAAGTGCTGGGATTACAGGCATGCACTACCACATCCGCCTTATGTTTGTTTTTTAACTTAACTTATTTGTAGGATTTTTTTTTTTTTTTTACATGTTAATAAAATTAGCCGTGGGCGGGGATATAACTCAGTGGCACAAGAGCCTGCCTGGCAAGCACAAGGTCCAGAGTTCGGTTCCTGGTACCAAAAAAAAAAAAAGATAAAAAGAAAGGAAGAAAATTAGCCTTATATCTGTGATATGAGTTGCAAACAGTTTCTCAAGTTTAACTATAGTAGGTGAAAGGTGTAGTGAAGCAAAAAAGTCAGGGCAAACTGCCTCACTGCACTTAACTTACTCATCTTCTAACAGTGCTAAAAAATCTGAAAGATGTTTGGGATAATATTAACTAAGTTTTTTACAGTGTTTCATTTCTTTTTCTTGGTGTGGGTACATGCGTGGGTGTGTAAGTGTGGGTGTGTGTGGTGCTGCTGATCCAGCCCACGGCCTCACACTTGCTAGGCAAGTGCTCTACCCTGAGCTACATCCCCAGCATGTAGATCTTCTTCAGACCACATTAAACTAAGGTTTTTCCGCACAGTATTTCTTATAGCTGATTTTTCTGGAATTCATTCTTTCTGATTCTGGGGAAAGGGCAACGTTTTGGCTGTGGTCTGGGGGATTGATATGTGCCTGGGAGCCTGACTCTGTTCTGTCTCACAGGTGGAAGGAGTGTCTGCTGGGAGCTCTCCATCACATGACAAGAACATCAGTGCTCTTGCGGCCTTCAGAGGAATCCCTGTATGTACCACCTGCACTCAGTACCTCTGCCCGTGCAGGCTTCTGTTCCATGCTACTGTGGGGTGCCAGGCACTGGACAAGGCCCTGGGGACGCAGGAGGGCACAGAGCCTGCTTCCAGGACCTTACACTTCTGTCTCATAATTGCCACAGTGAAGCAGAGTGCATAAAGCAGTGGGAATACCAAAAGCATACCACAGTCTCCGATGGGTGGTGCGGATTCTTGTTTATTCCCTATCACGGCAGGCACACACTTACCACTCATGTTCTACAGCTTCTCTGCCATAGTTGGAGTTGTCTGGGTACCCCTCCAAGCGTGACTGTAGGGCGGGGGGTGTAGCTCAGGGGTACTGTGTGCGTGTACATGCTGCAAGGCCGTGAGTTCAATCCTCGGCATCAAAGTCAAAACAAAAAGTTGACTTTATTTTTTTGTTACTGTTTTTTGAGACAGGGTCTTACTAGGTAGTTTAGGCTGGTTTTGAACTCACTGCATAGCCCAGGCTGGCCTCAAACTTCAGGGTGATCCTCTTCCCTCAGCCTCCAAAGGTCTGGGATTACAGGTGTGCACCACCACCCTTGGCTAGAATGTTGACTTTACTCAGCCCATAGGGCAGACAGACCAGATCCATTTGGCTCCCAGATTGGAGGATACTCAGTAGAAGGGGTGGGAAGTGCTGAGGGCAGGACTCGACCCTCTCTAAAAATCACCTGCCGCCCCCCAGATCTCAGAGCTGAAGAAACGCACCATTCTCCGGACCCTGACCGTAGAAGTGAATGGATGGGAGCCAAGTGGTAAGGACCCTGCAGGACCCTGGGAGTCCGGGTGGGACCTACTCTTCATCATTTAAATTTCCCTTGCTTTTTGTCCTGAATTTTGTAGATTTATCATTCCTCAAGGAAAATAGAAGCAGTGCTGGATTAGGGGTCAGTTTCTCTGCTAACAGTTTATGGTGTGATTCAGGGCAAGCCATGTAATCTCTATGCAAATAATGCAGTGGCAGTAATAATACCTGTCTCATTTGTTGGGGTGGTTGAGACAGGGTCTCACTATGTAGTTCAGGTTGGCCTTGAATTCACTATGTAGCGCAGGCTGGCCCTGAACTCATTGTGGTTCTCCTGCTTCAGCCTCCTGAGTGCCACCATGCCTGGCGATAATTCCTGTCTTACCCTCTAAAAGATATGAAAATGAGGAGTATAGCCATGCTTTTAATCCAAGCACTCTTGGAGGATCGCAGGTTCAGACTCAAACTGGACAACTTAGTGATTTAGTAAGATCCTGTCTCTAAAAAATACAAAAAAGATTTGGGATGTATTGGAGTGTGAAGGCCCTGGGTCCAATCTACACTACCACAAACAAAGAAAGGGAGGGAGGGAGGGAGAAAGGAAATGATGTAGTATATGTGAAAAGGCTTTGGAAAGATATCCTACTTTATCTGCTTTGCAAGCCCTTTCCTGTACTGTATTTTTTTAGTTGTTGTTATTTTTTTTTTTGGTACCGGGAATTGAACTTAGGACTTTGCACTTGCCAGGCAAGATCTTGTGCCATGGAGCTATATCCCTGACTAAGTGGTTTTGTGTGTGTATGTGTGTGTGTGTGTGTGTGTGTGTGTGTATGTTGTTTTGTTTTTTGAGACAAGTCCTTGCTGTGTCATCTAGGCTGGCCTTGAACATACCGTCATCTTGCCTCAGCCTTCTGAGTGCTGGGATTACAGGTGTCTGGCAGCACAGCTCAGCTCTTGTACTGTATTTAAAGCTCATTCTGCTTGCTGTTTTATTTTATTTATTTATTTATTTATTTATTTATTTATTTTTTGGGTACCAGGAATTGAACTCAGAACCTTGTGCTTGCCAGGCAGGCGCTGTGCTACTGAGCTATCCCCAGTCCAGCTTGCTATTTTATTATGGAGAAAGGCACTCATTATTCAAAAGCTCCTTTCTGGAGTCAGATCCCTCCAGTTGAAATTGTAACTCTCTCACCTCCATGCCTTTGAGAAGACTACTTAATCTTTCTAATCTTCCTTTCCTCAATTATAAGACAGGTAGGGACTGGCAGTGCTGGGGCACTTGGCTGGCATGCACAAAGCTCCGGCTTTGATCTCTAGCACTGCGGAATATATGTAAATTTTAAAAACAAATTATATTAGAACACATATGATAGGAATTTTGTAAGAATTAAATGCAGATAAAGTGCTTTACCCAAACTATTTAAGTTGTGATGAGTACTTATTGTTGTATATGGTTATCTTTAAATCCTACATACTAAAAACATAATCTTGGGCCTGGGGATTTAGCTCAGCAGCACAGCACCTGCCTGGCAAGCGCAAGGTCATGAGTTCAATTCCTGGTACTGGAAAAAAAATAAATAAATAAAAAAATAAAAAATAAAAACAAAAACATAATCTCCAGAAATACTGAGCTTTTATAAATACTCAAATGTAGAAAAGTTATTTGGAATCTTCAAAGTTTTCTCTCTTTATCTTTGTCTCTCTCTCTTTTTTCTTTTTTCTTTCTATAGTGATGAACCTGGGCCTCACACGTGCCAGGCAATGTTCTGCCCCTGAGCCACATCCCCAGCCCCACAAAGTCTCTTTTAATGGAATTTTGTCTCTAGTGTATAGTGGCTAACTCACCACTGATAAATGAGTAACTTTTATCACAAACACCAAAGTATTTTATATTTTAACACAACTAGCATATTTGTGTCAGCTCTTTTCGTCGTATTAAATAATTGTGATATTTTTCAGATTACTCTTGTCTAATTTGAATTAATAGGCTGATTAAATCAGCGCTGAGCTTAAGTTTAAAAATAAACAGAAGAGAGGCAGAAGGAGGTAATTATAAAGGGAAAAAAGGGGGGCTATTCTGACATGAGCTGTGTGAATTCCTGAAGTTTTTTCCGATGCCCTGAGTTCCTCTGCGGGTCAGGGAAAGTAGTCTTTGGGTCAGGGTCACTTTCAGAGGTGGGACATTTGTTCCAAGAGGAAGGAAAAGCTCTCACCCGGACTGAGTGTTTGTCGCCAGTTTTTGATCACGAGCTCAATACCTGCAGCTGAGACCTTGTACTCTGTGTTGGCCAGCGTCTGTGACAGAGATTCCCGCCCCTGCCTCTCTGCCTTTGATTCAGTTGAGTGTGGGTGAAGGAGCATCGGCTGAAAGATAGTCTGATTGCTTGGAGGTGAGCGTCCGAAGGGCGAGGCATCGGTGAAACCTTATGTAGGTGAGAGGTGAAAGCAGGGAGGTCAGACATTCAGGACCCCGGATCCATCTCACGGCCCACTGTCCCCTGCCCTGCCGGCCCTGAGCCCACAGCTCTGGCAGTCATAATAGCTGACAGTTACTGAGCCCTCAGCTTTGGCCTACATACTTTCCTATGAGGCTGGAGAATTGCTTCACCCACGCAGCAGCCCCATGAGGAGGCCCAGTTGATTGGGTAACTTGCCTGAAGAAATTCAGCTGGTTTTTGTAGAAACCTTTACACACAGTCTGGCTATCCAAACTGTGCTTCAGCAACTCCTCTGTACTGCTTCCCTACCACCTTTTCTTCCTCACTGTCTACTAGTGTTTATAGCGCTTTATTTTACCTGCAAGTATGTTCTCTGTCTTTGTCCATTTTCTCATTGCTGTAACAAAGTGCCTGAGGCTTGGTAGCTTTATAAAGAAGAGAGGTTTGTTTGGCATCACAGTTGTGCTCCAGGGTCCTGAGGCTGCCTTGGTGATGGCTTCTTGGTTGCAGAGCCCCATGCTAGTGCAGGGCGTCACATGCCAAGAAACAGAGCACACACGTGTCTCCTCTGGTCTCTTCTTGTAGGCATGGGAGAGCCGCCTGCTGACCCTTTCTAGCTCTAAGCACCTCTGAAGTCCCCAACTCTAAACACCATTGCCCTCAAAAACCAAAAAAAAAAAAAAAATTTGGGGCTGGGGATTTAGCTCAGCAGCAAAAGCGCCTGCCTGGCAAGCGCAAGGTCGTGAGTTCGGTTCCCGGTACCGGAGAAAAAAAAAAAAAACAAAAAAAAAACCACCATTGCCCTCATGGTAGTTTTTCATCATGTGGTGGCCTCAGCCAAGCTCCTGGGGCAGAGAGGGGCCGTTCTGGCCTACACTGCTACTGTGGCTGGAGAGATCCTTGGTTTGGTTTGGTTTGGTTTGGTTTGGTTTGCTTTGCTTTGCTTTTGGTACTAGAGATTGAACCTAGGACCTCCACCCTGAGCTATATCTCCAGGCTATTTATTTATTGGCTTTTTGTGACAGGGTCTCACTGTGCTGTCCAGGCTGGCCTTAAACTCACTATATAGCCCAGACTGGCTTCAGACTCATGGCAGTCCTCCTCCCTCAGCCTCCCGAGTGCTGGCATTATAGGTGTGCACCCCCACGCCCGTCTCGATTTTGGTAGTGAAGTCTCCATGTTTCTCATTGTCTGTTGTCCTGTGTAACAAATTGGAAAAGCGAGTGACAGAAGACATCACTGGTAATTTTGATTATAGGGCCGTAGCTGTGATTTGGAGAAGTGAACTGCATGGTAGCCGTGGAGAGCCTATCCTGCTGCTGCTTTTCTCTCACTTTTTCCTCCTCTTGCTATGCTTTCACTCGCTCATTCATTCATTCATCCATTCATCGGTCGTTTGTTGAGCACCTGCCTTGCATCAGGCACTGCGCTGGGCTCTGGAGAGCCTTGCCTTTGTGCAGCTCGCTGCATAGCGGGAGAGTCAGGTCCGCCCTGCAGTAAGCACTGGGCGTCAGCACCTCACGCGGCAGTGGCTGCAACCCAGACGGAAGTAGTTGAGGAGACGCCTGGGTGAGGGAGATGCGGGAGCTGACCGGGATGAGGACGGGCTGCACCGGCAGGCGTGGGACTGAGGACCAGCGGGCCTGGGAGGCTCCTAGGTGGGAGAGGACAGGCAACATTGAGGTCTTCAGCCTTCTCTGTGGGCCTAGAACTGTTCAGGGACTTAGGTGCTGTGCTGTCGAGTCGGGTTCTGTTGTGAGGTTAGGGAGACTCCCTGGAGAGAGCAGGTGGGGGGACGTCAGAGCTGCCCTTTCAAAGCTCGCTGTGGCTTCCATGTGAAGAGTAGTGGGGAGGTGACAGGATTCGAGGTAGCCGGCCAAGGCTGAGGTCTGCGACAGTGACCCAAACACACCTGGGTCTCACAGCATCTCCTTCTCGCCCCATTGCAGCTGTCAGCCCAGAGGTGCTCAGAGCCCAAGAGGAATGGGAAGCTGTGGACACCATCCAGCCGGACACAGGTAACCATGGGGATGCCGCATGGCACAGCTGTTAGCAAAGGCACCATCCCCACACGTGGCTCCTCTGCCTGTGACGTGAGAATTAGGAGACAGAATTCTTCAGTGTTGTCATTTTACCTATGTGACTTAAGGTCCCTTTCCCAAATCCAAAGATGGTGCCGCCTACCTGCAGAGGGAATGGGGACGAGCGCCACAAGGAAGGGTTCCAGCCCTGTCCATGTTCTTCCCCGCCCTGAGGGAACACAGGGTTCCTCGTCAGGGTCGCTTGGTCAGGGTCAGCCTCTGCAGGTGACAGGGTGGGCGGAAGGATAGAGGCGGGCACCTGGTCAGGCTGCTCACTGAGCAAACAAGGTCCTTGAGAGGGGCTAAAGGCATGTGCTGGAGGCTGGGCAGAAGCTGCCAGTGTGGAGAGAGCTGTGGGAGGGAGGAACCTGGAGCGGCTCGGGCCTGAGCCCCCTGGGCTTTATTCGGGAAGGCATCACAGTGAACGGTGTCAGCGTCACCTGTGTCGCTGACGGTGTAAGTTCATTCCCCCCAAGCTATGACAGTGAGGAGTCCTGCACAGGCCTGAGAAGGGACGCAGTAGAAATGAGGAAGGGCCCCGCAGCAAATCAGTGGCGCACTCCTGTGTGGGTGCCTCCTCCAGGAGCGACTTGCTCCCCCCATGTGGAGTTAGGGAGCACCTGGCGGGACAGATCTGTCCCCTACTCATTGCATAGGGCACCCAGCAAGACTCTGAACAGCCGAAAGAGGCCGCAGTGGTAATGCCAGCTCCTTAGAGGCTGTCTGAAGCTGTGTGCAGAATGGCGGTGGGTGTGATGTCTGCCCTCTGACTGGAAGCCGGTGCTTGGCTTGGAGGTGACAACGAGGAGGCCCTTAGTAACTGCCGTCTGAATGGCTACTGCTGCAGGCCCTCAAGTGTCTTCTCCTTTGCTCCAGGGAGCCAGGCCAGCTTAGACCAGCCGGGGAAGTTCATCTCCTTCGCAGAGGTCCTGCAGCATTTCCAGACTCAGGACCTCTCCTCCTTCAAGGTACGGCGGAAGGGAGCTTTGGGGCCTCGAGTGACTTCCTTCTCCCCGCCTGGGTAGGACCCTGGGCAAGCAAGCGGAAGCGTCCAGTTGAGGGCCCAGCCAGACTTGAGAAATGTTGGGGCACAGGATCACAGGTGGCCAAGGATGCATGATTCTTGGAGGGCCCTGGTAGCCCCAGTGGGACTTGTCATTTGTCCCCTGCTCTTCCCACTAGGGATCGAGGGCCAGGTAGCTCCTGGGGGAGAGGAGGCAGTTCAGGGAGCTGAGAGATTCGCGGCCTTAAAGAGCCAGGAGCCATGGGGGAGTTTCAGAACGAGGTGATGAACATTTGGGAAAATAAAAGCTGGGAGCTGTTTAGGACAACTTGAGTGACCAGTAGGAAGTTCAGAGGAAAGAGATTTGAGGTCTTCAACCTCAAATCTGATTGAGGCAGGACAGGCTGAGACAGAAATTGCATTGGTTGATAGGATCCAGAGGGCCAGAAGCTGCCGAAAATCATAATATTCTAAGGACGGCCCTGCCCATAGGGCCAGCGGTTGAGACAGTGCTAGTCGTGGCCCAAGGCTGCTGCTGCCCTCAGAGGCCGCAGTCTCCGGAGACCACTAAGCTCCCCTCCCCTGGCCTCCCTCCTGGAGGGGGTGAGGGCTAGATTGTGTAATTCGGGGTTTTAAAGGGAAAGGGATGGCATAGAAAGTGTGGAGGCAGCTCTGCTGGGCGTCCTGGCCACGCTTTCTTCTGGCCACGTGGCGGCTCCCACAGCTGTGTATCTGTGCCCTCCTTGGGAGTTAGTGGCATGGCTAGTTCTGGAAAAGCCCTGAGGACCGAATACAGACAGCGCCTGGAGGTGCAGAGAACCTGGGAGCGGGAAGAGCTGTGTCTGGGGACCCAGCAGGAGCTTCCCGGCTGCTGCCCCTTTCCCTGGCCCCGAGGGCGGCCACCCAGGCTGGGGGAAGAGAACACGTGAAGCCGGCACTCTGCCCATTGCCCCAACTTCCTCCCCAGAAAAGAATCCAGCCAACCGTTCGAAGGACTGGGCTCGCCGCCCTCCGGCACTGCCTCTTCGGGCCGCCAAAGCTCCACCAGGGCCTTCAGGAAGAGAGAGACTTGGTCCTGACCATTGCTCAGTGTGAGTGCGCGGGATGCCACGGGGCGGGCGCTGCGTGTGGTCAGGAAGAACGGCCCACCCACCCGAGGCTGAGGCCCAGCCAGAGCTTTGCATCTGCCATGCTGGTGGGTGAGCCAATTCTCCTGATGCAGCCAGTCCTCCCTGGTGTTCGGTCAGGCAGCGTGTGGGTGTGTTTTGGGGCAGGTGGCCTGGATAGCCAAGACCCAGTGCACGGCCGAGTCCTCCAGACCATCTACAGGAAGCTGACTGGCTCCAGGTTTGACTGCGCCCTCCACGGAGACCACTGGGAGGACCTGGGCTTCCAGGGTAAGAGAGAAGCGGTTCGCCTTCCTTCCGTTGCCCTGGTGCCAGGACTAGAGTGAGAGACCACAGCATCCTCTCCCAGCCACGCCAGCAGCACGAGGAGGGACACTGGGGGAAGCAGCACCCTTGCCGAGTTTGAAAAATAACAAGGATGGTGGCGCACACTAGTAATCCCAGCAGTTGGCAGGCTGAGGCAGGAGGCTCGCCACGAGTTCGAGGCTGGTCTGAACTATGTAGGGAGTTCCTGTCACACAAAAAAAGAGAGAGAGAAAGAAAGCAAGAAAGATAGCAAGGAGTTAGCTGAGGGGGACACAAGTGACAGGAAGAAAGATCACTTTGTGGCCACGCAGGCTGTTGTACAATGTTTGCATGAGATGGAAAGCACTGAAGTGAGAACACCGGACATCTGATTTGCTTGATCTTTTTCCTCTTTCATGGAAAAATTTTTATTATGTAGTTTTTAAAACTGAAGCAAAGTAATTTCACTTGTTTTTAGAGTGTGTGCTTTTTTTTTTTTCCCCAAAACCATATCAGGTTACATTTGTATAGAAAGGAAAATATCTTTTAGATTTATTTATTTATTTATTTTTTTCTTTAGGGGGATTGAGACAGGGTCTCACTATGTAGTGCAGGCTGGCCTTGAACTTACTATGTGCCCCAGGCTGACCTCAAACTCATGGCAATCCTCCTGCTTCAGCCTCCTGAGTGCTGGGATTACAGTTATATGCCACCACGCCTGGCTACAAAGGAAACTGTTGGAATTGAAAAGAAATGTTATACACTCATAGTTTATTGGTATTGCCAGTTGCTGAAGCCCTTATTGTCTTCTCATCTGTACTGTGTCTTTGTGTGCCCTCTATATTGGTCCTGTCTGTAGATAATGTTACAGTCTTTGTTCTGACCATCAGACAGAATTTTAACGAGTGCAGGAAGGGCTGGAGATGTAGCTCAGTGGTAGAGCACCTCCCTCGCATGCCCAAGCACCGAGAGCCACTGCAAAAACAAAAGCCAACCTCTGAAGGGACAGGAGTGTTCCTTCATACTGCCTGACTTTCCCAGGTGCCTTCATCTATTGCAGGCACTTCCTTTAGCCGTTCTTCGCCCACTGGAGATAAATTCCCTTAGCTTTCCGTCATCTGACAGTGTCTTGATTTCCTCGTCTCTCGGGAGTTCTCTGTGTGTAGAGTTCATTGAGGTTTTTTCTTTCAGGACTTGAAAATGTGCTGTCTCCTCTGGCCTCCATAGTTCCTCATGAGAAATCTGCCTTCCGCTGAATCTCTGTCCCTTATAAATAAGGAGCATTTTTCTGTCTCTGCTTCAAGGTCTTTCCCTTGTTTGCAGTTTTCAGGACTTTGACCGCGGTGTGTTATGGTGTGGCTCTCTGCAGGCGGATCCTGCTCGGGGTCAGAGTGCTTGCATGGCATGGCATGGTGTCTTTTGCCAGACTTGGTAAATGTCCATCTATGCTTGCTTTGAAGACATCTTTAACCCCGCACATTTTCCTCTCCTGTGGGACTCATGACAGGAAAGTTAGATCTTGGTTCATTGTTTAAAGTCTTTGTGGACCAGCAATTGGCTCAGGAGCACAAGCTTTTGCCTGGCAAGTGCAAGGTCCTGAATTCAATTCTCGGTACCAGAAAATAAGTAAATAGATAAATATAGTCTCTGTTACAGCCTCCTAGAGCTCCAAGGCTCTGTTCCACCTGGTTTTGTCTGCTCTGCCTGCTTTGTCTTGTTTTTCTCTCCCTGTTGTTCAAGTTGGATAATTTCTGTTGTTCTGTCTTCACATTCACAGATTTCTCTTTTGTTATTGTTGTTGTTGAGACAAGGTCTAGCTGTGCAGCCCACGCTGGCCTTGAACTCACTTCGATTCTCTTGCCTCAGCCTCCCATGTGCTGGGATTACAGGTGTACACTGCCATGCCTGGCTACAGATTCCTCTTTTATCTCTGTTCTCCTACTGAGTGCATCCAGTGTGTGTGTATGGATATGTTTGTTTGTTTGTTTGTATATTTGTTTTTTGGTTGGTGGTTCTTTTTTTTTTTTTTTGTCTTTTTGAGACAGGGTTTCACTGTGCAGTGCAGGCTGCCCTCAAAATTGTGGCAAGGCCCAGCAGTAGATCACATGGTCAGCATGTGGGGTGGCAAACACCTCTAATCCAAGCTATTCAGGAGGTTGAGGCAGGAGGATCACAAATTTGAGGCCAGTTTGGGTAATTTAGAGAGATACTGTCTTAAAATTTAAAATATAAAATTAAAACAAATGGCTGGGTATGTAGCTCAGTGCTAGAGCACTTGCCTAGCATGTGTAAGGCTCTAGTTTTAATCTCCAACACTACAAATATAAATAAATATATATATACAGGTATAATTTATTGTCTAAATACACGTATATGTATTCACTGAAAATAGCTTAGAGGTATTTCCTAACTGCTGTGGTAATTTCTACTATTGCTGTAACAAATTTCTACAAACTTAATGGCTTAATATGCCACAGATCTATTATCTTCTCGTTCCGTGGGTCAGGAGTCTGACGAGGGTTCAGTAGCGAAGATCAAGGTGTCCGCAGTGCTGCCTTTCTTTTTGGAGGCTCTAGGAGAAAATCCATTTTCCTGCCTTTTGCAGCTTCTAGACGGCCTCCTCCCTTCCTCTGTCTTCAAATCCAGAGCAGTGTCTCTCTGAGCCTTAGTTCGTCCACATGTCTCTTGCTCTGCCTCTCTCTTCTGTTTTTATAGGCTCTTCTTACTATAGGGGCCACCCAGATAACCCAGGATAATCTCTCTTCCTGCTGATGAGAAACCTTAATTTAGCTTGTGATCTTAATCGCCTTTGGCGTGCAGCATACTCACAGGTTCTGGGATTAGGGTGTAGGTGTCTTTGGAAGTGGGACAATATTCTGTCTTTCATAGTGCCTTTAAAATCCCTCTCAGGATCTGGGGCTGTAGCTTGGAGGCAGAGTACTTGCATGGCATGGCATGTGCAAGGTCCTGGATTTGATCCCTAGTACCACAAAAAACAAAATAAAAGAATACAGTTTTTGTCAGACAGTTCCAAAATCTGCATTTTCTCAGCATTGGTGTCTGTTCCTTGCCGTTCCTCATTCAACCTGAGATTATCCTGGTTTTTGCTGTAGCATGTGGTTTTCAGTTATATCTGGGACAATTGGGAGTATAATGTTATGAGACTGTGGATCTTATTTCTATCTTCCACTTTAGCAACATCCTCTGATACCAGGCCAGCAGGGCAAAGAGGGTGCCACCTCCCTGGGTATCCCACTCGATCTCTGCTGACCCACTCGCTTCTTGGCCTGCTCTCACTACTGGTATGGCTATGGGTCCCTCATACAGTAAGGCCAGAGCAAAGTAAGGCCCCCACCCAGCCCTCGATGAGGAGGAGTGGGAGGGGACCCAGTCTCTGTGTTGTTTGGCTATAGTAGGGAGGATGTTGTCTAAAGTATTCTGTCTTACTAGGCTACCCCTTTCCTGGCACTTTGGCTAGAGAAAGAGGCTTTTTTCTTGGTACCTTTTTGATCTGCTCTTAGTCTGTTTTCAGTTGCTATAACAAAATACCTGAGACTGGGTAATTTATACATGGAAGCTTTTTTGGCTTATGGTTCTGGAAGCTGGGAAGCCCAAGAGCATGGCACAGCACCTGCTTGCATCTCCTCAGGGCCTGTTACTGCAGCATAACATGGGCGAGGCACCGCAGGGCAAGACAGGTAATGTTTGTCAGCTCAGGTCTCTCCTCCTCTCATAATGCTGCCAAACCCAGCTTAGCATGGTAGTGCATGCCTATAATCCCTGTAATATCAGGAGGCTGAGGCAGGAGGATCACCAAGCATTTAAAGCCATCCTTGGCTACACAGTGAGTTCAAGGCCAGCCTAAACTACATCGTGAGACCCTGCCTCAAAAAAAAAAAAAAAAAAAAGATCATGCCAGTAGTCCATGATGAAGGCCCCGCCCTAATGGCCTGCTCTATTCCTAATCACCTCACAGAGGTCCACTGCCAAAAACCATCACCCTACAGATTTGGGAACTGAGTTTCCAGCACACAGAATTTAGGGCCATCATTCAAGCCACTGCTTGCTCCCATTGGCGTTTCTGGGTTGCCGCCTTCTGCAGGACTCAGGTGGAATGTGTGAGGGAGAAGGAAGCCCAGGAAGCTGCACAGTGTGAGGTCTCGGCTCCCCAGGTCTCAAGCCAGCCTGTCTCCCCTCCACCTTCCAGGACTTCCGGCTACACTTGTGAGAAGAATAGGAAGAACTGCATGCTTCACCCATTGCGGCTTTTTTGTTTTTGTTTGTTTTTTTTGAGACAAGGTCTCCCTGTGTCGTTCAGGCTGGCCTTGAACTCACTACATGTAGCCCAGGCTGGCCTCAAACTCACGACCGTCCCTCTGCCTCAGCTTCCTGAGTGCTGGGATGACGGGTGTGCTCCCGCGTGCTGAGCTCCATTGTGCTTGCTTCGTAAAGGACCGCCCTGGTGCTTCTGTGGAGAGATGACTGCGAGCACCACGGGAGCCTGAGAACACTGCTGGAGGCTGCCCCGCATAGGCCCACAGTGCGGGTCACAGAGCGTGGCAGGAGTGGGCCCTCTGGCCCAGAGGAGCAGCCAGTGTCGGGGCAGCTTGGCACCGAGTTCCGGAGCTCAGAGGGGCGGGACTTGTGCGGCCTGGCTCAGCAGCATCCCCGGGGTTTCCCTTACAGGAGCAAACCCAGCCACGGACCTGAGAGGGGCGGGCTTCCTCGCCCTCCTGCACCTGCTGTACCTGCTGATGGACTCAAGGACCTTGTTCATGGCCCAGGAAATTTTCCACCTGTCTCGTCACCATATCCAGGTGGGCTTCGGTGGGAAGCGGAGGAGAGGGTGCGGAGCGGGGGCCTGGCAGCCCGGAGGACCTCACGGCTCTCCGGCTCCTGAGGGCACTCACGGTGCAGGCGAGCCGGGGGCGGGAACGGGCTTCGCCGTCAGCCTGGCCTGTGCTGGGATCTGAGCTCCACCTCCGTTAGCTGTGGTCTCAAGCTGGTTCCTCGGCGGCCTGGAGCCCTGGCGGCTCCGTCCGCAGGTGGGAGTCTCGAGACTTTGGGTGGCTCATTGGGAAAGTCAGATGGAATAACGTGCAGCGTGGTAGGCATGCGGTGAGGCTGCTGCGTCCGCGCTCCGCTCCCCCAGTGACATCCTTGCGTGGTAGTGGTAGCCTCTCCTGACCCTGAAGGGGAGAGCTGGCCTTCGGAGACCTAGGGACTTACTGATGGGCAGAGTGGCCTTGGCCTCTTGGTCTCTGTCCAGCCCTGCCTTCTCGGAGGAGGGTGATGGCTTCCCAAGGAGTAAAGCGTCGTGGTCCGTCCACTTCAGACCAGCTGACCGGCTCCCTTCCATACGTCCGTCCAGGTTCCTGGCACCTGGAGTTCCTTCACTCGCTGAGTGAAGACTGACTCAGCGTCCCCCGTGTGAGGTATCTGGCTGTCAGGGGCCCACAGTGCACAAGCTGGACCGAGATGCTCCAGCAGAAACACGGGACAGAAGCTTCCACTGGCCTTACAGGAAGTAGATACTGACTTACATCGGTTAGAGAGGAAGCTAGGAGCGGGGTGGCCCTGCGGGAGGCCAGGAGGAGGGGAGGGTGTTACTGTATTTCATGGGGCGTTAGCAGAGCCCCCGCAAGACACTCGAGCCAGGCCTTGGAGGACGCAGACTGTTGGCCAAGCCGCCTTCGGAGAACGTTGTGGGCAGCGGGAGAAACCAGAGCACAGGGAGGTGTGCGGCCCTGCCAGGAACAGCAGGGCTGCCAGCAGGGCTGGGAAGAACAGAGGGCGCAGTGGAGGCCAGAGTCAGCCAGCCGGGGGCGGCGGCCTTGCGGGCCACGGGAAGGACGTGGGTTGTACGCTGAGTTAAAGCGAACCGCTGCTTGCTTTTTACGGTGTTTTCCCCAATGCTGGGAATCAGACCCAGGGCCTTTGCACTGAACTACATTGCCCACCTTATTTTGTTTATTGTTTGAAATAGCCTTGCTAAATCACTAAATTGCCCAGATTGGACTCAAACTTGGGATCCTCTTGCCTCAGCCTCCCACAGTGCTGGGATTACAGATCTGCACCATCATGCCTGACTCAGCTCACATTCTTTTTTCAGTCCTGGGGACCTAACTTCCTGTGTGCTAGGCAAGCTCTCTACCACGGAGGAACACTCCCGTTGCTTTTCATTTTGAGATAGGGTCTTGCTAGGTTGCTCAGGCTGGCCTCGAACTTTCAAGCATCCTCCTGCCTCAGCCTCCTTGATAGCTGAGATTTCAGGTGTGTGCCACCACGCTGTGGAGGGTTTTCATAGTACTCCAAATTAGAGGTGACTGGTTTGGGCCAGGGTATTTTCAGAGGCAGTGCGTGATGTGTGCTGTTTGAGCGGCCTTGCTGGGAGCATTCTCAGTGGGTGTCAGAGACACAGGCGCTGCTGCAGACTGAGCGGCAGAGCGGATGGAGGCGGGATAAATCGGAGGTGGCACATATAAACAACTTTTCAAGGGATGGTGCTGTAAAGGGGCCAGGAGTGGGGTGGCACTGGGGAAGGCTGGTTTGTAGTAACTTCAGATGTGGGCAGCACTACCAGCGGGGAGGGTCGTCTGACAGCGGGGAGATGAGCGCTGGCGACTCACAGGGAGGGGTGGGGAAGGGCCTGACCCCGGCCAGTGATAGGAGGGCGGGGAGATCAGGCCTTTAGCGCCAGGCAGTGCCACCTGGAAACGTCCGCACAGCAGCAGGGCCTCACTGGGCTAACCGCAGGTGGAGAGGGACATTGGCAGGGAATGGCAGCGCCACCATGCCAGGAGCGTTGCACATTGAGCTCTGATTGCGGGAGTCTGAGAAGGTGATGGATAAGGACAGACCAAGGGTCACCCAGCCTCGTGGGCCGTGGCCTGCGGGGAACCATTGATGGGGAGCCTGAGAGAGGGGCTTCCTGTGGTTGAGCGAAGGCGTACAAAGAGTGAAAGGAGATTAGTCGAGGTGCGTTCGAAATAAATGAGCAGGCAGTGCGGCTGAGTGGCGGAGTGAAGGAAGTGGGTGGTGTTGGGATCCCACTCACTTTCCTGACCGTGGCGTCTGACTTTCTGGGAGAGGCATAGCGTGTGACCAAGGTGCTTTAATTTCTATGTGTGTGTGTGTGGTGCTGGATACAAAACCCAGGGTGCTTTACTGCTGAGCCCCAGCCGCCCTGCCACACATCAGCTCTTTTTTTTTCCAGAGAGTCGCACTGAGTTGTCCAGACTGGCCTCAGACTTGTGATCGTCCTGCCTCAGCCTCCTGAAGAGCTGGGGTTATTTTTGGGGAGGGGTACTGGAGAGGAAATCCAGAGCCTTCACACTGAGCTATATTCCCAGCCCTTTTTTATTTTTTATTTTGAGACCAAATCTTGCTAAATTGCTTAGTTGCCCAGCCTTGGCTCAAACTTGCGATCCTCTTGCTTCAGCCTCCAGCGTGCTGGGATTATACATGTGTCACCACGCCCAGCTTAACCTTTTATTTTGAAATCATTGTAGTTACAGAAAAGGTGCAGAAGTAGTGCAGAGTGTTCCTATCCGCCCTCCCCACAGCTTACCCTAATAATAACCTTGCACTATCGTAGCACAGGCGTCCAAGGTAACTATTAACCAGGCCTTCGCTCAGCTCTCATTCGTTTCTTACTGTTTCTTCCGCACCTGGGTCCCGAGGCCTTTGATGGTGGGCTCCTCAGCCCCTCCAGCGTGTGAGTAGTTCCTGGGCTTTTCCTTGTCTTTTATGACCTTTCCTGACACATTAGAGGGGTCTCGGTTAGTTTGTAGAATGTCCCACAGCCGGATCCCTCTTGCAGTTTTCCATAATTACATAGTAGGTGTGGATTTCTGGCAAGAGCACCACAGAAGCATGTTCCCGCCCGGTGCATGCACTGACAGCGGTTCTCACCCTGGTGATGCTGACCTTGACCACTTGGGTTGGTTTGCTCTTTGGTTTTGTTTTTTTTTTTGTTTTGTTTTTCTCTTTGTTTTTTTTTTTGTCCTTTTTGAGACAGGGTCTCACTGTGCAGTTCAGGCTGACCTTGAGCTCACTTTGTAGCCCAGGCTGGCCTCGAACTTGCAATGATCCTCCTGCCTCAGCCTCCTGAGTGCTGAGATTACAGGCATGTGCCACCACGCCCGGCTGGTTTTGGTTTTTTGAGACAGAGTCTCACTGTGTAGTTCAGGCTAGCCTTGGGCCTTGAGTTCACTATGTAGCCCAGGCTGGCACCAAAGTTGTGGTGACCCTCCTGCCTCAGGCTCCTGCGTGCTAGTATGTGCTGCCACATCTGGCCTTGATCACTTGGGTGACAGTTTCTGGTAGGTTTCTCCACTGTAAAGTTCCTGTTTCCTCTTGTAATTAATAGCTATCTTAAGGAAAGATACTGGGAGACTATGCAAATACCCTGATTATCCTCAGACTTTCACCCACCATTTTGGGGGTGGCTGGTGAGTCTCACTGTGTTTCCCAGGCTGGTCTCAAATGCCCGGGCTCGAGCCATCCTCTCCTCTCAGCCTCCCAAGTAGCAGAGCATAGACCGCCGCACCTGGCTGGTAGATCTAGTGTTTACTGTTAAAGACTCGCCTTCCAGCCCTTAGGCATCTGCAAAACACAGGGTTTTCGAGGCCGTCTGTGAGGTCAGGGTGACAGTAGGGGCACGGCCCGCCTGCACCAGCCCCGGCCTTCCCTGCAGAGGGAGCTGCAGCCCAGGTGCCCGGGTCCATCACAGCTGGGGACTCCCTGCCTCCACGTGCCCAGCCAAGGAAAGGGCTTCATCCACGCCTGGAGAAACGGCATCACAGCGCAGCCGCACTGCACGGCTTGGCACATCCGTGTCGGGGCGCCAGGCAGGGACGACCCCCATCGGAACGCTAACCCCGCCAGCGAGCCCCGTAGCGTTCAGGGAGGTTCGCTGTGTCTCATTCCATCCTCACGGCAGCCCTGTGAGAGACGGGGCAGGAAGAGCCTTGTACCCGCTTCCAGCACAGAGCTAGTGTCTCTGCATGCAGCCAAAGCTCAGAAATGGGGAGCCTGGGCCTGGAGCCCACATGTGCCACCAGGCCTGGCAGTGCACCCCGCACCCGGCGACTCCCAGCCAGCGGCTCACTCGGTCCCCGGGCAGGGCACAGGTGCCCAGGCCCCAGCAGAGTGCAGCCAGCGGAACAGCACTGCAGAAGCTGCTCTGTCTGCCTCGGCATTCAGCAAGCACAGCCCATCTGCCAAGCACGAGGGAAACAGGGTCGTCGGTGCAAATGCAAAAGCGGCCGGCTCCGCAGGGCTCTGCTGCCTTTGAGTCCAGTCCGAAGCACAGAGGCAGGCAGTATTCCAGCTCTAGGCAACACTTTTTAGGACTGAGGAAAATGCTGAAGAACAGAGACATTTAGGTCTGAAACCCAGTTTTCACTGCTTTTTAAATGGGCTTTGTAAAAATGTTTCTGAGCCGGGTGTGGTGGCACATGCCTATAATCCCAGCACTTGGGAGGCTGAGGCAGGAGGATCATTGTGAGTTCAGTACCAGTCTGAGCTACAAAGTGAGCTCAAGGCCAGCCTAAACTGCATAGTGAGACCCTGTCTCAAAAAGACAAAAAAAAAAATAATATTTCTGAGAGTGGATGAACACTTAATTTTAGACTCTCCATTATGTTGCTACCTGTTCCTGTTCCCATTTTTATTTCTACACTGAAAGAAGAGGAGGGGCGATCTCAGGCCAGGGTATCTGACAGGAAGCAGGCAGGCAGGGCCTCCCTGCAGCGGACTGTGCTTCGGCCAGGAGAAGTGGTGGACGTCAGTCTGCATCCGGGACCCTCGTTACTGTTCACAGTGATCTGGGTGGACAGGGAGGTAACAGATACTGTAAACTGTAGAAGTAGAGCTTGTATCTTAGTTTTGCTAATGATTAGTGATGACTCCACCCATTGTGGCGCTTGGGCGGGACCCGAGACCATCCCTAGGCGGGGTGATCTGCCAGGAGGACCCACGGGACCCCCATGTGGTGATGAGCACAGCACAAGCTAGCACAGCGCAAGCAGAGGCAGTGAGGGACGCCGTGCACGGGACCAAGTCCGCCGGAAGCCGGTGCTGATGTCCAGGCGGCCTGTCCTGCAGAAGTCAGCAGCCGTGCTCTCATGCTCCTGTTTGTCCCTCCGTGATGCCACCCCTCTCCTGATTTCTGTAGAAAGGCGGCACTGTACGGAAAGCACTATACAGTATTTCTCAAGCATCACATTGTGTGTCTCATGCCAAGGCTTGCCAGGCCGCAAAGCTCATTGGAGACTCGGTGCCCAGGGTTTCCCTGGGACCTGTTGTGGAGGCACCATTTCTCTAGCCCAGACCCACATTCCAGAATCATGGGGGAAAGCAGGTGTTCCGCAGAAACCTTCTTCACAAGCAGTTTGGGAAGAGGGAGCCACCCTTATCTCACAATCCAAGTTCTCAAACCTGGCATGCTGGTGCACACCTGTAATCCCAGCACTCTGGGAGGCTGAAGCAGGAGGATTTCAAGTTGGAGTCCAGCTTGAGTGACTTAGTAAGACCCTGTCCCTAAAGAAAAAAGGGTTGGGGATGTAGCTCAGTACAAAGGCCAACTTTGATGTTCCGTACACAAAAGAAATAATTATAATAATCAAGTTCCCAGATGCCGGCTGTGGGCCAAACTGGCAGGTAGGACCCTAAGGACAGCAGCTTTGGGGCCTCTGTCTCAGCTGTTTTCCGCACGACACTCAAAGCCGGTTTCCTTCTTGGTGCTGAGAGATGGAGAGGCCGAGGGACGGGGAGGTGGTGGCTTTCGGCAGGACACAGCGAGCAGGCAGCCAGGCCGGCATCTGGAGCTAGGCACCGTGAACTTGTGCGGCCCAGCGCCCTGGTCAGAGCCGTCGGAACGGTGGCACTGTGCAGCGCCACAGCTACCAAGCACATGTGGCTTTGGGACACGAGTGAAATTTTAAGTGGAAGCACGAAACAGGTGCAGCCGAGGAGCCGGACTCGTACGTAACGTTTCACCTCATGTGAGCGTGAACGGCTACCGCAGCCACTTACTGCAGTGCTGGACAGTGCAGCTCCTCCAGGCCAGAGCATGATGGAGTTTTCCCCTCTCAGGAAGCGGGCGGTACAGGCAGACTCCGCGCGGGTCTCTGTACCGAGGAACGCGCTGGCGCCCTCTGTAGACGTCCTTGTGAATGTGCTACAGGGAAATAGCACGTCCTGTCTGCAGGTTCCCTGGATGCAGCCCCTTTCCATTTAGAAGTCGTGCTTGTTTCGTTTTACCCCTGTTAAGTAGGAGGTAGGAACTTGCCCTCCCGGAAATAAAGCATGAACGTGACACACGCGGGCCTCATGCACTGCACCCTCTGGACAGCGCCCTGCACAGCCGGCCCTGCGGCCTCGGTCAGCACCGGCAAGTCGAGGATGCCTTCCCACCTCCTTGCACCTCTCCTGGCTGCTTTTGGATGAGCAGCCAGATAATCAGAAGTCCAGAGAAGGGAGCAGAGATTTAGAACCTACAGAGGCTGGGTGTGGTGGTGCACGCCTGTAACTCCAGCACTGTGGAGGCTGAGGCAGGAGGATCACCACAAGTTCCAGGCCAGCCTGGGCTGCATAGTGAGATCTTGTCTCAAGGCAAACAAACAAAAAGAACCTATGCAGCTTGAGAACCGAGCCTCAGCCCTGTCGTGCTCGTCCTCGCTTAGGGGTGACATGCTGTGTGGGTAGTCGGGGTGGGAGGAGCTGGTGAAAGCCCAGGAGGTCTGAGGGGTCAGGATGCTCAAGGACGGGAAAACCAGCTCGGGGTTGTGGACGCGGGCTGTGGAGCGGAGAGCCTCAGGTGGACTCCTCAGTCCCGGGCTGCTTATGGTGTCAGCCTTAGCTGACACCTGACCCGCTGGCTTCCCTTCCAGCAATTCCCCTTCTGCCTGATGTCCGTGAACATCACGCGCATGGCCATCCAGGCCTTGAGGGAGGAGTGTCTCTCCAGGTGAGTTCCCGCCTCTGTTCCTCCCCTGCGGGCTCCCTCCGGCCTGGGTAGAGTCCCCGTGGCCCGTCTCCCGGCTGTCACCGCTCCTGCTCCTGACCCAGCTTTGAGGCAGGCGGCCTCGGTGATGGTGGGGGAGCTGGCTTGGGGGTCTGGGGCAGGGGCGGAGTGCGCTGGGTGTCAGGCCAAGCACGGCAGCCGCCCGCCCGCCCGCAGGGAGTGTAACCGGCAGCGGAAGGTCATCCCCGTGGTGAACAGCTTCTACGCTGCCACGTTCCTGCGCCTGGCGCACATCTGGAGGACCCAGCAGAAGACCATCTCTGACGCAGGCTTCGTCCTCAAAGGTTTGTTCTGGCCCGCTGGCCCCTCCTCGCCCTTCGGGCCTGCACCCCGCGATGACCTCACTTGCTGAATCAAAGCCTGGACACCGGACCCAGCAGCTGGGTGGACTCTCTGGCTTGGGGTTGCCCGGGCAGGGTAGCACGGGGGCCCTGGGCTCCCCCTGGCTCTCCGGCCTCCCCGCCGGTGCGCTCCTCGGGGACTGCTGTGCCTCTGAGGCCCCTCAGCAGAGGACGGGGCTCCCAGCTGCTGAGCCTCGCTCCCCTCCTCTGTTCCAGACCTGGAGGCGTGGGCCAAGAAGAACCCCCGGCGGTTGCTGAAGACCCTGGAGGTGTACCTGGCCCAGGTGTCAGAGGGACAGGCCTCCTTGCTGAGGCCACAGCAGTGCCCCCGGCCAGAAGGCCCCCACGCCAAGGACCTGGCCTTCACGGGCCTGTGTGACCTGCAGCCTCACCCATCCGAAGACTGGGGGCTCCCCTGAGCGACCCCATGGGCCGCGGACAGGACCTTCGGTTGGGCCACAGGGGCTTTGGGGGGGCACATGCCAGACCATGCCCCACGCGGCCTGGCGGGCGGCCACTCCCTGCCTCAGCCGCAGCGGTGAGGGCGCCCGGGCCGCCTGGAAAAGCAGCCCTCCACGCGGGCTGCGCTAGAGCAGAGCTCGGCCTGCGGCTTAGTGACCAGCAGGGCCCGGGGCTCGCAGAGGGAGTGGACGGGCTGTGATGCGCCGCCCTATCTGGACACTCAGACAGTCCACACGGAGGAGATTCCCTAGTGGGAGGCCCGGACCCCAACTCCCTGGTAAACTCAGGCTTCAGTTGGAATTTGAAGAGGGAAGTGGTAAGGATGGCCGCAGCCAGCAGGGGGCAGCACTGCCCGGGGGAGCCGCCGGCCCTTCCCGCAGACGCGGCCTCCTCCCCTAGTCCCTTCCTCCAGGTTTAGGGTGCGTCCCTGCCGGCCGCCCACAGCTGCGGCTCCGCCTGTGGAGGCTGCCGGGTCCCTGAGGACGTTTTCTGGCCTGGCTGAGGGAAGGGGGCGTTCGCTGCACCGCAGCCGTTTTAGAATAAAGGAGCTGCTGCAGCGTGAGGGGCCCGAGGGCTGCCTTTCCTCCCAGGCTCCTGCTCCCGTTCCGCGGAGGACGAGTGGCCCTGGCTCCTGGCTGCTGGGGCGTCCGTGCTGGGTTTGCCCACGTGGTTCTGGGCACGCCGGGCTCTGCTGTGCCCCTCACTGGAGGCGGGCGTGGCAGATGGTCACCCAGGAGCGCAAGGGAGTGCCCGGCTCCTGTGTGCAGGCTGCCCCCGTCGGCTCTGCCAGGCATCAACTAAGGCTTCGTCGGCGTCACCCTCTGAGCGGGGGAGACGCGGGCAGCCTGAGCACCGTGGGGCGGAGGGCCCGGGAGACGCCGCGCTCCGCTCCGCTCCTGTGCCGGTGCCAGGCTGGGGAGGGTCCCTGTCGCTTCTCTCCCGTGTCCTTGCTCTGAGCCCGCAAGCTTCACTCCCCCACCCAGCTGCGTGCGTTTGGGGGCGCGCACAGGCCTCTAGGGGCGGCAGCGGCCTCGGTGACATGTCCGACACCGCAGTGCTCACAGCCTTGGAGCGGTGTTAGCGGTGACACAGGCGTGTTAAGTTCTGGCTCTGCTGCCACACTGGCTGTGGGAAGGAGGGCACAAGCCCTGAGAGTAGATGAAACAGCTGAAGCTGAGGCAGGAGGGTCCCAAGTTGAGAGTCCAGCCTGGAAAACTCAGCAGCGTAGCCAGATCTCGTTTCAAAAATAAGAAAATACAAAAAGGGACAGAGATGTAGCTCAGTGCATAGGCCCTGACTTCAATCCACAGTAGCAAAAAAAATCTTAATCTGTATTTTTCTTGGGAAAAGGCCTGGACTTCCCGTGGGAAACTTAAAATACTCCATAAACTGAAAATCCTCAGACCCCTGCCTGGCCCCATCACTTACTCTATACTTTAACCACCCGACCTGACCCTGCGCTGCCTGAGGTGAGGCCGGGAGTCTGCAGAGGTCAGGGAGGGAGACACACAGGGGCTGAATTTCCTATGCTCCTTGGCCCAATCAGCAAGAGCCCGAAACAAGAACATCAACTGGGGGCAGGCGGGGAAAAGCGGCTCCCCAGGATGGGAGAAGGTTGAGAGCTGGCCCCGGGCCACGCTAGCCTGGAGTCTTCCTGTGCCCCAGAGCAGCCCTGGCCCGTCAGCCAAACACGGGCAGTGTCCTATGAGGGACAGCCTGACTTCAGTGCAGCTGTCAGATGTCCCCCTTTTTTGGGAGGGGTGCTAGGGATCAAACTCAGGATGCCATGTAGGTATGACAGAAAACAGGTACATATTTAAATTTTTAAAAATGTATTACAGTAAGAGACACTGCCATTAATCCTCTTTAAAAAATCCCTCTTGCTTTGATCACACTTTTTTGTTGTTTTTGTGTTTGTTTTTGAGACAGGGTCTCTCTGTGTAGTCCAGGCTGGCCTCAAACTCACTATGTAACCCAGGCTCGTCTCAAGCAGTCCTCCTGCCTCAGCCTCCCGAGTGCTGGGGTTATAAGCATGCCCCACCACACTCAGCAAGATCACACTTTTGAAGCACTCTTCTTTTGAGACAGGGTCTTACTTTGTAGCCCAAACTGGCCTTGAACTCAAGGTGATCCTCCTGCCTCAGCCTCCTCAGTGCTGGGACTATAGGTGTGTGCCACCACCCCTAGCTCTCTGAAGCAGTTCTTCACATCCTTTCATGTCTTTATAATGTGGATCAAAAACATAGTGAAGGCTGCTGCCAAGCACCATCCAACAGAAAGAGCTCGTAAAAATACACACTGTCCTCATCTGCTTTATTCACTGGCTCTGGTACTGTGTGACTTGTGGCTCCTCCTCCAAGTCAAAATGACCATGAAAAAAAGGAAATGTTTTGAATCAGTTCAGGACATGGAGGCAGCACTATAGTGCAGCTGAAGACACTCATGGAAGACGACTTCCAGAACCGCTTCAGAGAGCGGCAGAAAGGATGGACTAAGTGTGTTCGAAGAGAGAGGGAGGACTGATGGGTTTCGTGGCAGTGTCTTAGAACTGAAATATTTACCGCCTGTTCCGATCACCCCCATGCACTAGGCACCCGCTGTCCCACTGAGCTGAGCCGCAGCCTGAGTGTTCATTTGAAGCTGGGGCTTCTCAGGCCCGAGTGAGTGCTGGCTTGGATGGAGATGTGTCCTGAGCCCGCAGCCACAATTGTCCCGCCAGGCTGCAAGCGACCCCGGGCCTGGCACTGGGCCACCCGCTGAAGTGCCCAGCAGTACCTGCCAGCGCCAGCTCCGCTCGGCCTTGGCCCCCAGGGTGGGGCTGAGCCGGGCGAACAGAGACCGAGGAGAGCTGGGAAGGCACGTGTTTACTTTATTATTGCACACTGGCAGGGCACCAGGAGGAGGCGCAGGCAGGCGGGGGCGCGGGCAGGGTGCAGGGCAGGTAGCCGCCCACCCTCACTTCCAGTCCTTGAAGAATTGCTTGAAGATGGGGCTCTCTCGGCCCTGGGGCAGGATCTCCACCTGCAGGACAGGGCGAGAAGTCTGGCTCACAAAGTTGTCAGCCCGGCCGGGCCGGGGAGAGGGTATCGGGCACCAGGCCAGAGTCTGCGTGCATCCGGGCCAGGGAGGCCCCAGATAAACCAAGAGCCGAGACACAAAGTGACAGCAACACAGGCTGAGAAGACAGATTGCGTGCAGACTTGGGTACAGCCAGGCGTGCCAGCACACACCTGAAATCACAGCACTCAGGAGGCTGAAGCAGAACGATCAACGGGTTCAAGGCCAGCCTGAATTACACAGCAAGACCCTGTCTCACAAGCAAACAAGACTTGGGTACACAGTTTGACACTACCATCGATTACAGGCTAGCCATGTAGGAAGGACTTAGCTAGCCACCATGCTGGGGCTAGGGGAAGTAGCAGCCAGGAACAGAGGCCCAGAGGAAGAGCACAAACCATCCACAAGCACACCTCAAGGACAGCTCCCCAGTATCCTCTCTGAAAGTCAGATAACATAAAAAAACACACTGGGCTTCATGGCACACTATAATCTCAGCACTCAGGAGGCAGAGGCAGGAGAATTGCCACAAATTTGAAGCCAGCCTGGGCTACATAGTGAGTTCAAGGCCAGCCTGGACTACATAGCAAGACCCTGTCTCAGAGAAACCCAAAAAAGAAAAAGAAAAAACAAAGAAAGTAAGACAAGTCTTTAAATGTTGCAGGACTGGGAGGGCCTCCCCACGGGGTGGGTGTGAGAGGGCGGCCTCACTGTTCCCCACTATGTCCAAAGTTCTCCTGCCCGCTTGTCCCGTCCGAGAGGTGCGGCGGCCACAGGAAGGGCACAGCAGGGGGCTGTGGATCGGGGCGTCCCCTCACCTGAGTGTTCGGAGCATACTGCATGCGGGAGATGAAGTCCTCGGCCACTTGAAGGGCTGCCTGCCGCTCCTTTTCGTTAGCTTTTCGTCCTGGATCACAGGAAGGGGATGTTTCGAAAGAGCAGAGACCCTCTCTAGCCTTCGTCCTATTCTTCTTGAAATCCCTTCCCCACCCCTTTTTGGCCCTGGGGATTAAACCCAGGGCCTTCACTCTGAGCTCCAGCTCCAGCTCCAGCTCTTTTTATTTTTTACTTTGAGACAAGATCTCACCAAGTTGCTAAATTGCCCAAGCTGGGCTCCAACTTGCAGTCCTCCTGCCTCAGCCTCCCAGAGTACTGGGATTACACATCTGCACTACCATGCCCAGTGCTTGAAATGTAAACCCCTCTGTTCCACAGAGCAGCTGGCAACGTAAACAATTATAAAGCTAAAGAGCTTTTCGGAGGTATGAAGTCAGTCCCTTAAAACTTTTTCCAAATTGGTAGCTTGAAGCTAAATGAAAACTTCTCTTTTGCCCAGGTCTGATCAGAACCTTCCCCTCTGGAGCTGGGTGTGCGTTATGGCAGAGCGCTTACCTGGCAGGCACAAGACCCTGGGTCCCGCCCCCAGTACCACAAAATCCTCAAGCACCTTCTGCTCTGACCAGGCCCCAGGGACATTTCAGCAAGAATAGGTTTTCCCCCCGTGCCTCAAACCAAGGCCTGGGACCCTGCCCTGTCCCCTCGGCCTGTCTGCCTTAGTGTTTGCTACAGGCCTTTCTTTTTTTTTTTTTGGCGGTACCGGGGATTGAACTCACAACCTTTCGCTTGCCAAGCAAGTGCTTATGCCACTGAGCTGTATCCCTAGCCCTGCAGGCCTTTCTTGTAGCACTAAGCAGGACAGATGGTTGATTATAGAGGTGAACTGACTGCCTCCCGTAATGCCAGCAGCCTACACTGGCCTGATGGCTATGCCAGCGAACTGCTCATAAACATGAAGCTCAGTCAGTATCATGGCTGGTAAATCCCAGCACTCTGGGAGGCTGAAGCAGGGGGATCACAAGTTCAAGCCCAGGCTGGGCAACACAGTAAGACCCTGACTCAAAACAGGCCTGCGGTTGTAGCTCAGTGTGGCCCTGGGTTCGGTCCCCAGTACCCAAAACAAAACAAACCCACAGAGAATTCACCCACTTCCACAGTAGTGCAGATTGCTCCAGCAGAAGGCATTTTTCTGTGGAAACTGCCGTGAATGGCGGTTGCTTTCCGGCCCAGCTATCAAAATCCCAGTAAGTACAAGGTATCTGCAAGTGCCAGGTGTGGTAGCACACAGCTGTGATCCCAGCACTCAGAGGCTGAGGCAGGAGGATTGCCACAAGTTTGAGGCCAGCTTGGGCTACCTTGTGAGACCCTGTCTTAAAAACGGACAGAAACTGTCCTTCCATGGTGAGGTGACTAGCTGCACCCCTACTCATGGGCACTTCTCTTCCTGGCCTCCTGAGTCTCCTGTTTCCCCTCAGGCTTCTCTTTCTGTAATGCTTGCTTGCTTGGGGTTAGAGATCCTCTGTGCGCCTCTGGGGACACTCCATGCCTGGCATCGGTTCCACTGAGCACCGCCCCTCCGCAGAGGTCTCCCAAAGTCCCCCTTCGCCCCGTCCCCGCTGGGTTAGGACACCTGGGCATGACCTGCCTGGGTGTAGCCAGCCTGAGACAGAGCGCCTCACCCGTCCTGACCAGGCTGGGGGCTGGTGGTTTCTTGGCTTTGTTGGTTCACTGCACAGTTATGTATTGAGCAAATGCTATTTCATCAAGACTCTCAGGTAAACACAGCTCCCGCCTTTGAGAAACTTCTAACCTGCCCAGGGAGGTAAGACATGCTCAGGAAAGCCAATCAGATGGGGTGCCGTGGTGCATGCCTGTAATCACAGCACTCAGGAGGCTGAGGCAGGAGGATCACTGAGTTTGAGGCCAACCTGGGCTACATAGTGAGTTCCAGCCCAGTTTGAACTACATAATAAGACCCTGCCTCAAAAGAAAAAAAAAAAAGGAAGAAGAAAGAGAGAAAGGGAAACAAAAAAAAAAAAAAAAAAAGAAAGAGAGAAAGGGAAACCAGGGAAAAGTAGCCAAGCTTCCAGGGTTGCTCAGGCTTTGAGTACAGTTTCAACATTTTCTGTGGTCAAAGTGAGCCAGGTAGACTTTTGCAAAACAGCATTTCTCTTTCCAGCTGATATAATCTCAGAAAAACAAGTTCTGCAAGTCCACTCCCCACTGCGTAAAGTATTTAAGTTACCTAAAATCCAACCCTGTCACACCTGGGAGGCAGAATCCCGGGATCAGGGGCCCCAGAGCCCTGAAGGCCTAGGACTGGGCGAGGCCAGTGGTTTTCAGAGCGCGTCCTGGAACCCCACAGGGAACCCTCGGGGAACTGATTTCACAGGCACAAGCTCAGATTCCACCACAGACCGAGCGAACAGAGTGTGTGCGGGCAGGACAGGGCCCGGCTGTGTTCTGGAGCAGGCCCTGGGGCCGGAGGCCGGCCATACTTTCGGGACTTCACGGTGGCGACAGCAAAGAGAACACCATCGGGCAGGCAGCTGCAGGGACCGCAGACTGGTGCAGGGAGCCCGCCTACCCTTCCAGATGTAGATCTTGCCGCAGAGCCCATTGTCCAGCACAAAGCAGTCGTCAGGGATCAGCAGCTCGGGGCCGAAGGGGCTGGAGTCGGCCACCTTGGTCAGGTGCATCTTTCCGGTGGCATCGGAGACCTGGGGAGGCAGCGCAGTGCTGGACCGAGCCCAGGCCAGCCCCCCGCCCCAAACCCGAGGGAGCGGGCACCGGGTCCGCCCCCGCGCCTCCCCGCCTCCTCCCCCGCACCTCAGCCCAGCCAGGAGCCTGCTGCACTCCACCCCCACCTCCGCCCCTGCCCCCGAGCGCAGTGCATCTGGAAGCAAGCGGTTTCTGAACTACAAACACACGCACAGAGCCCAAAAGGTAAAGCTCAGCAGTGGCTTCAAACCTTCACCAAGGGGCCGGAAGCAAATGGCATTGTCTCTTCCGGAAGTTCGACCGGCCACCCCATCCTCCTCTCCTCCAGTCTTGCAAATGCCTCCCCGCTTCCCACGGTCTCCTCCTCAGCCCCGGGGCCCCCAGCTGCTCTGTGAAGCCCCCAGCCCTAGCCGGCCCAGCGCCCACCTTGTACAGAGCTGCAGCCTGGGCATTGGTCTGGTCGGCTCTGAGGTCCTCCTCGGGGTTGCCCTCCTTCAGAGCAGGCTTGGGGCCCAGAACCTGTAGGGGCGGGGCAGCCTGGGTTTGCTGGATTCCTGCCCCAAAACTTTCAAGCCATCGCGCCCAGAGCCACCTCCTCCAGAGGGACACACTGTGCATCATACCCAGGCACCCTGCGAGCTGGCCACAGGCTGGGCAGAGTCCCAGGGGCCCTGCCGTCCTCTATCCCCACCCTCACACCCCCGGCCCTTCCTGGCCTTTCTAAGAAGCAGGGGCTCCCAGCCCTCCTGCCATGTCCCCGACCTGGATCATCTCGCCGGGCTCTTCCCCATCGGTGATGATCTCCACCTGGGCCTTGCCCTGCCGCTCACTGTCCCGGATGGCCAGGGCCAGGTCCCGAGCCTTGTTGCGCTCCAGGATGTTGGACTTCCCTCCGCACCAGGTGAAGATGTTCTGCGGGAAGCGGGGCATCCCAGCTCAGAGCGAGCACCCCAGATCCCACCCTAGCTCAGGGGAAAGAAAGGCCCCCTCTACCCCTCAGGTCCTCCAGGTCAGGGCAATCAAGAAGGCAGGGGCAGAGGGGAGAGACCTCTGAGAAGGGCCATGACCGTGCTGTCGGGGCACTGCCTGCCCTCTGGCCATCTTACTCCCTGTTTTGGTTTGTTTTGTTGTTGTCTGAAATAGGGTCTTGCTATGTGGTTCAGGCTGGTCTTGAACTCACGGCTCAGCCTTAGCCTCCAGAGTGCTGGAGTTACAGACATTCGCCACCACGCCTGGCTTGTTTTGTTTTTTTTAAAATCCACACCACTTATTGCCATATATTTAAAACCTATCTCAGCTGGACATGGTGCATGCTTGTAATACCAGCACTTTGGACACCCAAGGCAGAAAGATTGAAAGTTTAGGCGAAGTGTGGACAGCTTAGCAACTTAGAGGGACTCTGAAAAAGTTTTTTAAAAATTTTTTTAACAGGCTGGGGATATAGCTCAGTGCAAAGGCCCTGAGTTCAATCCCCAGTACCATCAAAATAAATATGTCTAATTCCTCTTTCTCAAATCTAAGCTGCAGGGCATGAAGGTTTAGTTTTGTTTTGTTCGCTATTATATAATCACTGCTAAAACGGAACATCTTTAGACAAAAATACATGCTGAATGAATGAGTGGTGAATGAATGAGTGAGTGAATGAATGAATGAGTGAGTGAATGAATGAATGAGTGAGTGAATGAATGAGTGAGTGAATGAATGAGTGAGTGAATGGATGAATGAATGAGTGAATGAGTGAGTAATGAATGAATGAGTGAGTGAATGAGTGAATGGATGAATGAATGAGTGAATGAGTGAGTGATGAATGAATGAGTGAGTGAATGAGTGAGTGATGAATGAATGAATGAGTGAGTGAATGAGTGAATGGATGAATGAATGAGTGAGTGAATGCTGCACCAGCAGAGCCCAGTATCTCAGCCCATCTCTCCTGACTCCCAGTGGGTGGTGAGGCCCGTCAGCTGGTTCTGCCCCCTCGTCCACCACGAGGAGTCCTCTCTACCAACGCTCCTGGACTGACCTTCCGGCCGCAAATCCTGGAGACTGGGGAAAGACATCCTGTGTCCTCACGAACCGGGTCTCACTCCCACAGCCAAACTGCTCTCACTGCTCCCGTCCCACACCAAGTCCCACTCACATCCCGGTCTCCATCCACGGCTGCATCCTTCCCCTGTGCCCTCAGCTGTATGACACCCCCACCCCAGGTTCTGGGACGCCTGGCTTCAGCTCGGGCGAAGGCCCCCACCCTGCACATCCCCAGTCCCTGACCGCCACTGCCGTCACGCCTTGCTGTGGGTGACAGCAGCTGACCGGCCCGCCCTGGCTGCCTGCGTGTGGGGCCCTCGGTAGCACCTGTGCTGGTTCAGAGAGCATCAGTCACAGAATGAGCGGGTAAGTAAATAAACTAATGAAAATGTGTATCAAGCCACTATCTTAGAGCTACAAAGGCTTCCAAGAGAAGCGGAAGGTAAGCTACAGAGCCTTCGAGGCAACAGCTGGATTTTGGGGGCTGGTTTCTGTCCTTATAGAGTCAGCCCTCTGCATCTGTGGGCTCCACCAGAGTCAAGTGGCTGAAAATCAAAAACATTCGGAAAAAGCCAGGTGTGGTGGTGCACACCTATGCTCCCAGCACTTGGGAAGCTGAAGCAGGAGGATCACCACAAGGATCACTTCAATTTGAGGCCAGATTGAACTACATAGTGAGACTCTTGTCTCAAAAAAAAAAAAAAGAAATCAGAAAAAACTATATCTCTACTAAACACATACAGACTTTTTTCTTGCCACGATTCCCTAAGCAACACAAGGCAACTATTCACACAGCAGTCATTTTGTTGTAGGTGTTATGAGTCATTTAGAGATGGCTCATGTGGGAAACATGTCTATAATCCTTGTGGGTGGGTTTAACTGTGGGTGAGTTTGTGACTCATTGAGACCATGTCTCAAAATTTAAAATTTGAAAAAAGACTGGGTGGGGATGGCCAGGCATGATGGTGCACACACATCACCCAAGTATTCTGGGAGGCTGAGGTAGGAGGCCAGCAATTTCAAACCCAACCGGGACAACTTAGTGACTTAACAAGACCCTGTCTCAAAATAAAAAAAAGAAGCTGGGCATGGTGGAGCACACCTGTAATCCCAGCACTGCGGAGGCTGAGGCAGGAGGACCCTCGCAAGTTCAAAACCAACCTGGGCTACAAAGCAGTGAGCTCAAGGCCAGCCTGAACTGCATAGTGAGACCCTGTCTCAAAAAGACAATAAATAAATAAATAAATAAATAAATAAATAAATAAATAAATAAAAATAAATAAAAGAAGAAGAATGTGCAGTTTACATGCAAAGTCATAGCTTTAGGTTTATGTGGAGGTCTTGAGCATTTGCGCGGGCCCAGAGAACAACCCCTGCAGACACTGAGGGCTGCTTACTGTGTTTTCTCGGGGCCGGAGCGGCGGCTGTGGGATGGGCCCCAGCCCCCCCCAACCCCCCCAGCCCCTTCCCCGGGCTCCTGGCCAGCCCTTTGCACGGTGCCGGCGCTCCACCTGCCCCTGTGACCCACCTGGCCCAGGTCCAGGATGAAGCAGTCCCCGGTGTTGAAGCTGTCCCAGCTCAGCGCCCGCTCAGTGGCCCGGATGTTCTTTTTCCCCTTCACCTGGTAGAGTTTCTTGATGGCAGCCGGGGCTGTCCCCAGTGACGTCTTGTGAAATGCCGACTCCACGCCACCTTCCTGCAGCCAGAAGGCCGGCCTGAGTGGGGCCGTACCCCACCCCATTGGGAGACTGCAGAAAGGGGCCCCAGCTCCAAGGGCACCGAGCGGCTGGGCAGGGAGGACGCTGGGGCGGCTCTGACCTGGTACTTGAGGCCTCGCGGGAAGTAGCTCATGAAGAGGTCGGACTCGTTGCCCTGCACCTCGCGGTGCTGCACCGGCCGCTCCCCGAGCAGGGTGTTGAGGTGCACGGCCAGCACGGCGCAGGCCCCCTGCTCATCGCGGGACGACTGCTGGCCTGTGACAGGTGGGGGGTGGCAGGCGAGACCCCCGACACAGCCAGCGCAGCCCCACCCACCGCCAGGCCTGCGCCCTGCCCCTTACCTATCCACAGGTGCAGGTGCGAGAGCTCTTCCGGACCGTTGTGCAGCACCAGGTAGGAGTCCCCCGAGAAGAAGACGCCCTGGTTCTCGGGCGCCACGGGCACCGGCTTCAGCTTCTCCACGCGCCATATGTGCAGGCCGGGAGCCTGCACGGAGGAGGCTGGGAACGGGGAGCCGCTGCAGGGAGGAGAGCGGGGGTGGGGGAGGACCCGAGCTCAGAGCCAGCCGGGGCAGCCTGGGAAGGGGTGGGGAGGGGCGGGTGCGCTGCCTACCTGTGCGGGATGGGTGTGTACATTGCTGCGTCCGGATCTGAAAGACAGAAGCCACCATCACCCAAGTGTCCTGACGGCCACTTCTCACGTGGGCCTGGGATGGCCCCAGGGAGCCAGCACCCTTCACACTCATCAGCTACCTCCTGGCCAGGGACCCCCGGAGAGGACAGTATTCTTGGTTCCCTTAACAAGTAAAGACAATAAGGCTGAGACAGCCTAAGCCCAAGGTCCCACAGCTAGTGAGTAGCTCCTGGAAACCAGATCTCTGGCCCCTGAGTCATGACCTGTCACCCACACCTGTCTTTTACTTTGGACTCCTAACCCTGGGTATTGCATGAGGCTGGGACAGCTCTCTAAGCAATATGTAACTGCTCATAGCAGAAAAGTCTAAAATCTATGACTTGGCTGGGCATGGTGGATCCCAGTACTCAGTAGGCTGAGGCAGGACTGCTCCAATTTGAGGCCAGTGTGGGCTACATAGCAAGACTCCATCTCACAAAACAACAACAAATTTTTAAGAAAAATACAGTGGCATAAGTGCCTGCCTGGCAAGTGTAGGGTCCTAAGTTCAATTCCCAGTACCAAAAAAAAAAAAGTGCCAATTACAAAAAAAAAAGAAATAAAGAAATAAAATTAATGACAACGTTTCCACCATAAAGAAGGAAAGGCAAAAACCCAAAATAACTAAATAAATTCAATCAAAAATAAAAGCAGCAATTAATAAAAAAAAAACAATCGATAAAAATGATAATGAAAAAATCAACAAAACTGATTTTAGGGGTTTTTGTTGTTGTTTTTGAGTTGGTCTCACTATGTCATCCAGACTGACCTCAAACTGAAACTGATCTTTTTAAAAAATCAATAAAAAATGATAAAACTGTTAGACAGACTGAATAGAAAAAAAAGAAGGTATAAATTTCCAATAAGGAAATGAGAGAGGGGACATCACTACAGAATCTACAGATATTAAAATGAAAAACAAGCTGAGTGGTTGGTGGTGCACATCTGTAGCGCCAGCATTCTCTTTTTTCTGTCTTTTTGAGACAGGGTCTTTCTATGCAGTTCAGGCTGGCCTTGAGCTCACTTTGTAGCCCAGGCTGGCCTCGAACTTGCAACAATCCTCCTGCCCCAGCCTCCCAAGTGCTGGAATTACAGGCGTGTGCTAACACGCCCAGCAGTCCCAGCATTCAGAATGCCTGAGGGCAGAGCTTTTTGAAAGTTTGAGCCCACACTGGGCAATTCAGTGAGACTCTTGTCTCAAAAATAAATAAATAGGGGGCTGGGGATGTAGCTCAGGGGTAGAGCACTTTTCTAGCATGTACAAGACCCTGGGATGAATCACCAGTACTGACCAAAAAAAAAAAAAAAAGCAAGTAAAAAGGGCTGGGGATGTAGCATCACCTTGCATTCTCAAGGTAGAGGGGGAGGAAAGGAAGCAGGGTAGGGGAGCAGGAAGAAATGGATTACTTGTGTTGGGGCTCAGGAAGTAATACTCAAAGTATGGCGCTGGCATTCTGACAACTTTAAAGAAACCCGCTGACCCTCCCTCCACACACCCTAGGCGGGAGGAGCTTTCTGGAAAGTCCCTACTCTGTGCCAGTAGGAATGCAGTTGTTACGCCCCGTCCCCGCGACCCCTAGAACACAAGGGTTAGGTAAGAGGCTGGGCCACAGCAGCCGGCTACTCTTCTGCGGCTGTTACCTAAGAGGCTTATTTACAGGGCCGCAAGGCATGGCGTCTGCAGTGCTTCTCCCTGCGCCTCCCAGGATAGGCCACCTCCCCCAGAGCACCAAGCCCCTGCTCCTTTCCCTAGCTCAGAACTCCGCACATAGTACAGTGTGTGTCTTTCCTTCTGCTAACCTGCATGTGTTTTAAAGGCTCAAAGATCAAACCTTGGGGAGAAGAAAATTCCTCTCACTCCTATCCCTGAGCAGTCCTACTATCTCTTGAAGAAGTTAAACTTGTAATTTTGTTTGTTTTTTTAAGACAGGGTCTTGCTATATTGCTAAGGCTGGCTTCGCACTCACTATGGAGCCCAGGCTCACCTCAAATTCACAGTGATCTTCCTGCTTCAGCCTCCCAAATGCTGGGATTATAGGTCTGTGCTACTGTGCCCAGCTAGAATTTAACAACCTATAAAATCCAAGCCTACACGACTTCACTGGTAAATTCTACCAAAAAAAATTAAAGAAGATATGATACCAATTCCATACAAACTCATTTATTTGTTTGTTTGTTTGTTTTTTCCGGTACTGGGAATCAAACTCATGGCCTTGCGCTTGCCAGGCAGGCGCTGTGCTGCTGAGCTAAATCCCCAGCCCTATACAAACTCATTTAGAATATAGAAAATTCATCCTATGCTACAAGCATTATCCTGATAACAAACCACATAACTATAAAATTACAGAACAATATTTCTCATGAACATAGCAGCAACAATGCCAGGCATGGTGGTGCACACCTGTAATCCCAGGACTCAGGAGGCTGAGGCAGGAGGATCGTTGTGAGTTTGAGTCCAGCCTGGGCTACAAAGTGAGCTCAAGGCCAGCCTGAACTGCATAGCGAGACCCTGTCTCAAAAAGACAAAAAAACAAAAAACAACAAAAAAGGCCAGGCATGATGGTGTATACCTGTAATCCCAGCACTTGGGAGACTGAGGCAGGAGGATCACCAAGAGTTCAAGGCCAGCCTGGATTACATATTGAGACCTTGTCCCCCCCCCCAAAAAAAAACACAAAATTCCACAGAATTCTAGTGAATAGAATTCAGTATTATTTTTAAAAATAACATAATGAAATGAGGCTTATCCCAGGAATGCAAGGTTGGTTTAACATCTGAAACTCAACCCATGTAAACCATCTATTGGGTGGGGAGAGAGAGAGAGAGAGAGAGAGAGAGAAGTCATTAAGTAGATGCAGAAAAAGCATTTAGTAAAAGTCTGCATCCATTCTTGATTTTTAAAAATTTTTCACAAAATTAGGAATATAAGGAAACTTCCTTACCCTGATAAAGGCATTTACCAAAAAGAAATCTTAAAATCCTCAGCTAACATTAGACTTAACAGCTGCTCCAATCCTAAACTCTCCGTGGGGAAATTCACCCACTCAGACATCAACTATCAGTTCTGTGTGTGCGGCCCTCCTCAATGTGAGTGAGGAATGCCATCTTTATTTTGTAGGTCAGTGGGGATGACTTTTTTGGGACAAGAGGCATTGGGGTGGGAGAGAATGCTAAAGACAAACGTCACAGATTGTATCTTCATGTCCCCTCAAAGCCTCATGCGCTCATAGGTGGGCTTTTGGGGGTGGCTGGATCATAGGTGTGTGATAATAGATTAGTCGTTGTTTGTTTTAGCACAGTTCTGGGTATAGGTGATGGACTGAAGAAGGAAGCCTCACCCTGGGTGTGGGTGGCACCAACCAGTTGGCTTGCAGCCTGGAAGGAATAAAAAGGGAAGGAAGGTTCCCTGCTTCCTGTCTGCCAAGCCATGGACTATTTCTCCTCTGCCGTGCCCTCCCGCCATGCCACCCCACCTTGGGGCCAGCCAATTACAAAGAACCCTCTACAAACTGTGACCCAAAATGAACCTTTCTTCCTTCAACTTGTGGATGTCAGGTATTTTGTCTCAGCAACAAGAAAGTAAATAAGACAACAAATATTTAAGCAAAATACATTAACTTCTTAAAAAGTCAGAAAACGGCCAGGTACAGTGGCTCATGCCTACAAATTCGGTATTCCACAGGCTGAGGCAGGAGGATTGTGAGGGTGAAGCCAGCCTGGGTGACATAGCAAATTCAAGGTCAACCTGAATGATTTAACAAGACACTGTTAAAAAAAGAAAGCAGAAAATGCAGTCAGTACAGTTTTACTTGCCACCTTTGTTATGTTCTCATCGCGAGCTCAGTTTCTTTGGGGAGACTTAAATGCAGAGAACTCACACCTGCAGGCACTTAATACGAGGCACACTGTGGGTCCCCCAACTGCAGGGTGGGGTTGGGGCCTGGGACACTGAGGGAGGGACTGCGAAGAGGCACCCTTAGGAGATTCTGGGGCTGCTACAGGGGAGAAGAGTGAGCCTTGAAGGATGGCTTTTCTCCCCAGCCTTCTTAGCTTTACTTTCTAAGTTTGTGCTCTCTTGAGGGTGGCTTTGAGAACAGGCTGTGGTGAGTGTGACCCAGCACCGCGAATAAAGGAAAAAGGAACAAACCGGACCGCTCCAGTAAGAAACAGCGGGCAGGCAGGAGAGGCTAAGGCAGACGGGATGAGAAGGCGGTCTTGGCATCGCACTTCCGGGTGGTGGGAGGCGGGGGGCGGCCCTTCCGGTCCTACAGGGTCTCCGGTGGCGCCCTCCCCCTGCCTGACTCAGATCTGCGGTGGAGTGGCTGCCCCAACCCAAGCTGTGGGCACAACTCAGGGAGGAGATGGTGCAGGAAACTGCCAGCTTTATTCATTTTCCTTCTGTTACTGAATGAGAATGCGGGCTATCACTCAAAATCAGGCAGCCAGACTCCAGGCTGTAACACCCCTCCCCCCAGCCACAGCAGGGTGAACACAAGGGGTTCCTTGGCTGCCCGCCCCTTCCCTACCCCGGCTGCCCGTGTCCACTACCTTAGGACACTATGAAATGTGCAAGCTAGCCTGGCGTGGGGGCACACGCCTGTGATCCCCAGCACTCGGGAGGCTGAGCCAGGAGGATCACTGCAAATTCAAGTAGTCAGTTCAAGGCCAGCCTGAACTACAGGGCAAGACCATGTCTCAACACCCTCCCCCCTCCGCAAAAAAGAATCCTGCTAGGCCTGTTTAAACAGAACCTTCCTCCACCCCATTTCCTTTTAGTGCTTTTCCTCCCTCGACCCTCACCCTGCCTCTTGGCTATAAATTCCCGCCACCCGAGCCGTACTTGGAGTTGGGCTCAATCTCCCTGGTGCTGTGGTCCCTATACCTTCGGTGACGGTCCTGATACAGTCCCCCTTATCTTGCTGTAAGTTCTTCCTCAGTAAGTTCTTCCCTACAGTGCCCCCACCCCAGGCCTGGGGTTCTGATTCCAGAAGTCAGAAATGGAGCTCAGCATCCATATGTTTTGTTTTGTTTCTGAGACAGGGTCTCACTATGTAGTTCAGCCTGGCCTCAAACTTGCTATGTAGCCCAGGCTGGCCTCGAACTTGCATCGATCTCCCTGCCTCAGCCTCTGGAGTGCTGGGATCACAGGCCTGTGCCACTACGCCCATGTGACAGATGTTCAAGTGCCGCTGATCCTGCAGGTGGACTCTGTCCAGCAGAGTCCCATGCTTGGTAGGCTGGAATCATCAGGGGTTTTTTAAGCTTCCCCAGGTCTGGGCCCCATGCTGGGCCGGCTAAACTCAGACCCCAGGGTGGAGCCTGGGTCCCGGGCTGCCCTCTGAGACCCCAGCGCCTCGACCTCTGCTCCCAGCTCCGTTGCAGAGGGTCCCTTGGACTGATCCCGTGGTCTTTTCTCCTCCACTTCCTCAGTGCTGCCGCCAGCCTCGCGGCCTTCCGTCCCTGCCCCCGCAGGCCCCGCAAGCCCAGCTGCCCCAGGAATGGTCCGGACTCCGGGGGCCTCGGCCCGCTGCAGTTCTCCCGGCCTCACCACAGCAAGGGCACCTGGGCCCTCTGCGCATTCCTCAAGCGGCCTGCGGCAGCCTGGTCGTTCTGTCCCGGGCTGTGCCGGGGGCTCAGCCCCGGGCGGGCTGTGGTGGGGGGCGGCGCAGGGAAGAGGAAGAACAGCCGGGGTCACGCGATTGAGCAGAAGGTGCAGCGAAGCGGGGAGCTGTCACCCCACACACTTCCCCAGGCAGGGAGCCTCGGCCTCTGGGGTCAGCATTAGAAGCAGGCTTAGTGCCTGCCCAGTTCCGCCCCACCGCGCCTTCGGACAGACCCAGCGACCCAGCACAGTGCGGAAACCGCTTTCCACCTGCGCTCACCGGCCTCTCCCGGAGCTCAGCGTTCGCAAGGCCCGCGCCTGCACCAGGGTCGAACCTAGGACCTCGCGCCCTGCACTCTGGGCAGACTCTCCCGATGGGCTGCGTCCCAGCCCCACCCCTCCTTTATCTCTGGCACAGAGACTTCGCTTTGTCCCACTCTGCCGCAGCGCGGAGTCAGAAGTGTCCACCCAGCTTCTGCTGCAGGCCGGGGGCTTCGGCAGGCTGTGCTGGGGTGGGGGCTGCTGGCCGTGCTCGGCCGTGACTTAGCCGCCCTTCAGGGCAGATTGGAAGAAGTGTCCTCGCCCTTCTATGGATCCCAGCAGGTAGGTCTCCTCACCACACGTCCCTGTCCTTCCCTTCGCAGGAAACCGAGCAGCACCCACCCTTCTCCTAAGGAAGAGGGGAACACGGGCGTCCACCGAAAACCTCAGCCACTCCTCCCAGCCCGGGACACTTCTGGGGACTGCAGGCCTGACACCGAGGGGCCTACACTGCTCCCCATGTGGGCAGCCAGTCGGCTGGGACTGGGAGGCACCTCCTGCCTTCGAAGCTAGAGGGCCGGCCTGAGCTCTGCGTGCTGCCACACCCGCTGCAGTCCGCACTGGGAAGGCCGAGCGGGAGGATCCATGTGAGTTCGAGGCCAGCCTGAACTACATAGGGAGACCCTGTCTCCAAAAAAAAAATGCATTTGGCTGGACCTGCCTTGCTCCCCTAACCCCACCAGCCCTCTCATCCAGTCTCCCCACAGGAACCCCCAAGTCTGGTCTGAGTTCACCTCCAGGAGGGCTAAAGGCCTCCAGGAGTCCCAGCTGCAGGCCTGGCACGTCCACCCCTAGCCAGAGTGAACTCCAAGCCTGGGCTCCCCCGTCCAAGCTCCGGCGCACCCCACTGGGACCCACCCAGCCCCAGGCAGCTGCAAGGCCGTGGTCACTCGAAGCATCTGGAGTCTGCCTAGGCCACGGACGCGGTCCCGGCTGTCTCCAGGCGTGGCAGCCAGCCCTCCTCTCTCCGCCTGAGGGTCCCGCCAGCCCCCGCCTCCCGCTTTACCTCTGCACACCTCTGCCTCCGCTCACTTGCTTCTCAGGCTCTTCCTCCCAGCTGCCCCACCCGCTCCCCACTTCCTGATCCAGCGGCCCCACCCGGCTGCCCCACCCACGGGAGGGAGAGGCGGTGCTGGCACAGGAGGCCTCCACAGAGCCTGGGCACCGAGCCCTGGCCGCTGGTGCTGCCAGCTCAGCTTTTCCCAGGCACCGGGAAGCCACAGGTCCCAGCCTTGCTGCAGCAGCCCCAGCAGAGGCAGGAGCTGGGGGGCATCTCCAAGTGTGGGACCCGCAAGGAAAGCTCTGTTCCCCACTTACCAGCCCCGCAGGCTCCTCAGCAGCCGGGCCAGCCCGTGCTGCCCAGTTAGTCACATTTCCTGGGTGGGGTCAGCTCCCGATCACTGTTTCCGCCTCCCCAAACGCATCTCTGCCCCATCCCCGAAGGGGATGGATCCTGCCCCACCCTAGCTCAGTTCTGAGCTAGGTATGCACCACACCTTTAGTCCCAGCTACTCCCAGCTGCTCCGGAGGCTGGAGCCGGAGAATCACGTAGAAAGTCTGTCTCAAAAAAATACAAACAGCCGGGCATGGTGGCACACGCCTGTAATCCCAGCACTCAGGAGGCTGAGGCAGGAGGATCCTTGCAAGTTCGAGACCAGCCTGGGCTACAAAGTGAGCTCAAGGCCAGCCTGAACTGCATAGCGAGACCCTGTCTCAAAAAGACAAACAAACCCAGTCAAAAAACTGGGTAATTGAAAAAGAAAAAAGAAAAAATTTGAAACAAGCTTTTGTTAAAAATAAATAAATAAAATTTTTAAAAAAAGCTTTTGTTAATAAGGAGGAAAGGGGTTGAGGGAAGTAGGGAAATGAGGGAAAAAAAGAATCAAATTATATTATGTACAGGTACAAAATTCCTATAATGAATATGATCATTATATATACCTAAAATGTACCAATAAATTTAATTAATAAAATTTTAAAAGGGCAACTGAAAACCAGGCGTGGTGGCACACACCTGTAATCCCAGCACTCAGGAGGCTGAGGCAGGAGGACTGCTGTGAGTTCAACACCAGCCTGGGCTACATAGTGAGTTCAAGGCCAATCTGAACTGCATACTGAGACCCTTTCGTAAATAACAACAACAAAAGGGCAACTGAAATGAATGGACACTTAGAAAAGTACAGATGGCCAATTAATACGTGAAATATGTTCCACATCTCTGGGCATTTGAGGAATGCAAATTAAAACAACACTGAGACTCCAGCTCACTCTACAAATAACAGCTAACAAAAACTAAAATGTACAAGGAAATGTAGCAATCCTAAACATACCTAATGTGCTTAACAGAACTTCAAAATACATAAAAGAAAATGCTAGAACTAAAAAAAAAGTAGTCTTGGCAACTCACTCGGGCCCCCTGCTGTCCCTCTCTTGGACAGAAGGTTTCTTTCCCTCAATAAATATATTCTGCTCTTAAAAAAAAAAGAAAAGAGGGGCTGGGCATTTAGCTCAGTGGCAAAAGCGCCTGCCTGGCAAGTGCAAGGTCGTGAGTTCAGTGCCCGGTACCGGAGAAAAACCAAAAAAAAAAAAAAAAAAAGAAAAGAAAAAACAGGAAACTTTTTGCAGATATATGTTCATGATCTTAATTATGGTGATGATTTCATGCACATTTACACCTCGTAAAGCTTATTAAACCATGTGCTTTAAGTATGTAATATACACAGTATGTTCAGTTGTGTCCAGAAAGCTGTAAAAAAAGGCGGGGGGAGGGGGGGCGGCTAGTGGAAATCTGAAAGAATAAGATAAGCAAACTGTTTAGTAAAGCACAAATATCAATTTTTGCTTTATCAGAAAAAGAATTAAGATGTAAACCCCCCACAATGAATGGGATCATCATATGCCACAAACATGCACTAATAAAAAAGTAAAAATAAAAACAAAATAAAATAAATAAAAGTAAAAAGGGCTGGGAACCAAACCAAGCCATGTGCTACAGTCTCACCAGAGCAGGATGGGAAGTTACATGTTCTCCCAACGAATGCAGCCTGGAGCTGGCAGCCGATGTCCCCAGGGCCAGCTGACAGCGTTAGAAACAGGCCTTGACCCCACTGAGACCACAGACTGTGCAGGAACCGGGTAGGGAAGTTAAGGGTGGTACAGTTTGGTTACTTACTAGCTGCCCTTCCTCAGGCCAAGGATTCAACCTCCGGGAGCCTCGTTTGGTCCAGTCTATAAAATGGGCACACACAAAAAATGTGATGATTACATGAGACCTTATCAGTAACAAGCAGATAATAGATGCTTAATAAATGGAGCCTGCTTTCTCGTCCCTTTGGTGCGCCATTCATCCCAGCACTGGGAGTTTACCAAGGGGACCGGGCAGCTATGCCCCGCCCCCAGCTCAGGGGTTACCCCAGAAGGAGGGAAGTTAAACCCCAGGTTCCCGTCTCCTCATCTCCTCACCCCTCCCCAACCCGGTCCTAGCCGGTTTCTGCTCGGTCAGGAGTGCAGAACGTGGGTGGCACCCACTCTCAGGGGACAGGATGAATGCGAACCCCCGTTCCTCCGCTCGCTCTGCGGCCGGGGTGGGGTTTGCAGAGAGGGCTGAACCAAGGAGCAGGTTCTGCATACTTAGCGCGGGCCAATGGCTTAAGCTGGAAACACCCCAGAACTCGCTTTTTATGGGGCTCACAGTTCTCTCCCTCGGGCTTCTCCGTCCCAAACTACTTGAGTTTGTCCCAAGTGGAGTAACAGGAGGGCTTGGGCCCCGCGGCCGCGCCCTCCCGCCGGATGAGCCGCCCCGGGCGGACGCAGCGGAGGCGCGGCGCCCCGGCCTGCCAGACCCCTGACCCCCGGGGTCGCTGCGCCCCACCCCCGAAGGACGCGAGCGGGCTCTGGCCGGCGCCGAGTCCCAGGAGAGGCCCCGGACCTGCCGCCCGCTCGGCCTGCAGCCATCGGGGTACCGAGGGACCCAGCCGCGGGCCGCGGGTGGCTCTTGGAAAACTGAAGACAGCCGAGTTGTGTCCACTTCCCACTCAGTCCCCAGGTCCTGAGCCTCAGTCGTGCTACCACAGCTATGGCTCCGAGTGCCTACTGCGTGCTTGGTGCTTTAAATGTGATCTCCAGTCCCCCTGTCCGCCACCGTTATTCCTGCTCAATACAATGGGGAATTCCGCCGGGCGTAGTGACACACACCTGTAATCCCAGCACTTGGGGAGGCTGAGGCAGGGAATCACTGAGAGTTTGAGGCCAGCCTGAGCTACACAGCGAGATCCCGTTAAAAAAAGAAAAGAAAAACAAACAAACAAACAAACAAACAAACAAAAACGGTGAGGAATTCCTGGAAGGCTGGTCTCGATTCAGAAGAAATCCGGGCAGCCATGGTCTGCCCCAGGAGGCGGGGCCTTCAGGAAATGTGTCAAATGGCCCGCGCTTCTGCCTGAGTTGGCAAAGCCTACAGGGAACGCCCTGCAAGATGTCAGCTGAGGACATCAGCAGCAGGCCCAGGGCTCTGCATACCGTGATAAGAGGTCTTTTTCATTTCTTCGGTCGCAGCTTTTTTGTTTTTTGAGACAGGGTCTAACTATGCAGGTCAGACTGGCCTTGAACTCCCTATGTGGCTCAGGCTGGCCTCAAACTCCCAATGATCCTCCTGCCTCAGCCTCCTGAGCTTTTTGGAAGCAGCTTGGCAAAGCCCAGCAGCATGAGTTTCTCTGAGGCTGCAGATGGCTTTGTAACAACCCAAACCCTGGGTCTCCCTGATGCTCAGACCACCCTCCCTCCTCTTACCCGCCCTGTTTCAACCCCTCTGTTCTCCCGGCAGCCTCAGCTTGGATGTCCCTCCTCTGAAACGGCCTCCTTGGTGCTCCCTGGGGCCTGGGCCTCCGGGTCTACAGCCCCAGCCACGCCCTGTGAGCAAATTCGGCTTTCCACAGAGTACCTGTTGGCCCTTGGCCCACTTCAGGCAGCCGGGTCTGCCGGGGCTCTGCTAGACACAGTCCTCCTGGAGCATGCATGTCCTCCACATTTTTTAGGCTAAGTTTACATGAGAGGCACAACTTATATCAGCACAGTTGTAGCACCCATGGTTGTAGCACCCATGTTCAGCGCATCCCCAACAAGGCATGGAACACTTGCCACCACCCTGGAAGCTCCTGCCGCGGTTTGTCATGTGACACATGTGCCCCTACGGTCAGTACCTGTGGCCCAGGGGCCACACGGAGTCCTCCCTGTAACCCCAGCACCCCGCGGAGCACCGGCAGGTGACAACACCCACAGTTCTCCCCGGCTGCAGTAACAGAACCCCAGCCCTTCTCGTCCCGGGGACTAGGAGAGCCCGGCAAGGTACCCTATAGCTCTGAAGAGAATGAAGGCTTGGACACGTGCAAGGTGCTAGTACTTACTCCCAAGAGCAGGATGTTTCCGGGATGAACACTGGGCTGAAGGGAAGCAGCGGAGAGAAGCTTTCGCACTGATTTCCGGATGTGGCGACTTGGGCTCTGCGGCTGCCAGAGCTGGCCGGCTCTCAGCCCCTGCGTCCGGGGACCCAGGCCCAGGGCTGATTTCCAGAGCTGACAACCCCCCGGAATAGCAGAACCATCTCCCTAGCCGTTGCTTATAACCCTTACACTTGACCTGCAAGTGCATTTTTTTAAATCATCTCATAGGTCCCTAGGAATGGCCAGGGGTCAATATTTTCTGAATAACTCCCAAGATTCAGGAAGTTTTGTTTGGTTTTTCTTTGTTGTTGTTTTTTTAACCTTAAAATTCAATGTTCATTACAAAGGTCAATGGTGATTCTGATGACGAGTTTATTGGTAGGATTTCTGGTAACAAGCATGGGCACCAGGGCCTCCAGAGCTTTTGGATTTGCAGCGACATTGTCGGGGGTGGGGGTGGGGTGGGGTGTCAGCTACCAGCAGGGTCCGGTCGTACGGGATGAGAGTATCTTTGATCTCCTTGGAAGCCTCCTCCGCATATTTCTAGTAATAGGCCGGCAGGGCTTTGGAGATGGACTGATGGAGGGTGTAAATCCAGGCCACGTGACCGTCACCCTGCACACAGACTCAGATGCCAACACAAGCAAACTGATCCTTGCCCAGAAGCAGAACAGACTCCAGTAACTTGTACCGCAGCGTGCACGGCTTGATCTTCTCCAGGGGACGCCCGTTCACCTTGATGAGGCCACTGCCCCATTTGCAGGGTGCCATGGCTGTCACTGTCTTCTTGAGACCAATGACTTGCCCGGCTTTGGTGCAAGGGCGGCTATAGTCTGTCCCTTGGGCGGCATGGCTGCTATTGTAGATTGGAGCCTCTCACCGCAACCGGAAAAGGGCGTTTGGTTTTTCTAAACCACTGCTGGTGCCCTAGTCTTCCTCCATGAACCCTTAGGAGAGCGGGACTGTCCAGTACAGCATG